TATTTTTGTTGTTAGATTGTAATGTTGTTACAATATAATGTAATGTTATTTTAACCCTTTTTTGCACATATAGCACAGCCTAGATGGTGACATTCACTATATTTGTTTACATAGCCTTGAATATGAACGTTGTTTGTCGAGCAACTTTGGGCAGGATGTTTTTTTTTTTTTTTTTATAAGTACAGATAATTTTTAAATTAGTATAAAAAGTATAAATACATTTAGTCCAAAAATACTGAGCCACATCATCCTATCTTGTTGCAGTCCTTTTTATGCCGTTCTCATGTTTTCTTGCTCTGTTTTTTACCATCTATTCAACCTTTATAACTGTTGCCCACCCGTCATTATCGACAAATAATAATATTTATTTGTCTTAATATTTGTCTTAAACCTGTGATCGCAGACTGGCCCATCATGCTTTAGGCTATTAAGTTGTGACCTAACTATCTCCCTTGAATTATCAAGGGAGATAGTTAGGTCACACTTTAGTTTTGGGTCAAATTAACACTATTAACTATGACTTGTTCCTCAATAAACTCCTAATTACTGCTTATTAATAATTAGGAAGGTAGTTGTTAAGTTTAGGTATTGGGATGTCGAATATGTTCATGCAGAATAAAGCATTAATATGTGCTTTATAAGTACTAATAATATCCTAGTAACATGCATGCTTATAAGCAACAAGTTAATAGTGAGTTTTCAGCATGAGCGTAGGGGTGCAAATCTTTGGCTTATTGCTAGATTTAGTGTAAAGGTTCTGCATAAGAGCCTTACTTTAGTATGTGTGTTCTGACTGGCCAATAGAAATAAAATACTGGGGTATAATGACCTCATATCTGAGGCAATGTAAATGAAAATTTTCAATTCAGAGGGAACGTACTGTAATACATGTTTATGCCGGGTGGTTTTGATAAATAAAATATAAAAAGTATGATTTTTTGATTCTTCAAGCATCATTACAGTAATTTTGCATATTCAATTTGACAAACGCAATAGTGACTAGACAAATCTGAGAATACTTGAGTAACGAGTGCCGGCAGTCGTGCACCAGTACAAATGGCACACTCAGTCTCACAGGTGTCACTCATCGCAGCGCTCGTCTGTGACGCATCCAATTCAAACGCTCACCAGAGATACAGTACTGTACGTTCCCTGTGATGATGATAGTAATAACAGTTTAGCTTGCAATTATCTTAATGGCTCAGAGATGCTTAATTATTACTGATTTGCATCACTTAAGCTAAACACAATCCTAAAGAGAGTCATATCAGGTCCTAATAGTACTGGAGCAGTTTTGGTGCTGCTAATGGACATTTCTCTACGGTTCAGAAATTTGGGGTTTGAGGTTTTTGTAATGCTTCTTTAATGAGTCTCTTCTGCTCACCAAGGCTGCATTCATTGCATCAAAAATACAGTACAAAAGTAATATTGTGAAATATTATTACAGTCAAAATAATAATAAAAAATTTCAGTAAAGAACAGCATTTATTTGGAATAAAAATCTAGAAATAGAAATCTTTTTGTAACAAGAAATTGATAGAAATCTTTTTGTAACAATGTACAAGTCTTTACTGTCACTTTTTATCAATTGAATGCATCGTTGCTGAATAAAAGTGTAAAATGTCTTTAAAATGTATTTAAAAAAAATCTCACCCTAGACTCTATGGAGTAATATGTCAAAACACAATATTCTTATTTTTGGTCCATAACCATATATATAGCAATGTACACATTTTTAAGCATTAACGAAAATACATTTAATGCATTACACATTTGAGAAATTTATACCACTATATCATTGAAATCAGTTTTATTGCCCTCCTCTGTAGTTTCAGCCGGTATATTGCCAACCCCTAATACATAAGAGTGGTCAAATAAATGATGAGCCATCAGTATCTGCCTCATGTTTCATAATGGGTGCACCCCCAGCATTCATCATTGTCTTCTGGCTCTGATTATTTAGTTTCATGCTTTTATATGCATACTAGACTAGTGCAAATTTGATTTGATTAGATCAATATGTAAGCCATCCTGTGCATTCATCAGCAGAAAACCTGCTGGCAACAGGCCATCCTCTTCCTCCATTCCTCCTCTCATCACTCTCAGAGCTTCTCCTCTGGCATTGCATAAGATCTCCGAATCACACACTCCCACTTCAGACTGCTGGCCTGGTACAGGATGATGAGGTTCATGGCCTGCAGCTATTCTGGAAATCCTGCTATCCTCCGCCAGCATAAAGCATTGTTGAAAGAATTCAGCAGGGTTAAAGATACGGCACACAAATTTCGTACATGCACACAATCGAGATGCAGGACACCATCAAAAATCATGCAAATCTCACGATAATAGCTGTTTGTTTGAGATCTCTTCTGCAATTACATTTCAGGCATTGTGCCGTTTGTGTTTGGTGGTGACATGTGAAACGGGATGTTATAATGTTCTGGTAGAGCTGCTGCAGTGCAGCTCTCTGTGGATCCCGTTTAATATAGATTCATTGAAGCTGTCATCCCTGCCCCAGATTTTAGTCCTGCGTTTTTATTCCGTCCCCTACGCTGCTCAAAAATGGATCAATCCCCCATCCTCTCCTCGTTACCGTGCCGTCCCCCTCGATGGACAGGGTCTGTTTAGCAAAAAACACTGTCAGATGTAATACCTCTTCTGTGTGATTTTAAAATGACAAATTAGCCTGATGCTTGTTCGAGTTACATAACATTTGCTGACTGAATATTTGTTTTGTTTTTCCTTGCGCTAATAGTGAAACATGCTTGTGGTACTTGATATAAGAGAATGTAAAATTATTTATTATACTATCTCTTTATACACTCACCTAAAGGATTATTAGGAACACCTGTTCAATTTCTCATTAATGCAATTATCTAATTAACCAATCGCATGGCAGTTGCTTAAATGCATTTAGGGGGGTGGTCCTGGTCAAGACAATCTCCTGAACTCCAAACTGAATGTCAGAATGGGAAAGAAAAGTGATTTAAGCAATTTTGAGCGTGGGGCCGGTCTGAGTATTTCACAATCTGCTCAGTTACTGGGATTTTCACGCACAAACATTTGTAGGGTTTACAAAGAATGGTGTGAAAAGGGAAAAACATCCAGTATGCGGCAGTCCTGTGGGCAAAAATGCCTTGTTGATGCTAGAGGTCAGAGGAGAATGGGCCGACTGATTCAAGCTGATAAAAGAGCAACTTTGACTGAAATAACCACTCGTTACAACCGAGGTATGCAGCAAAGCATTTGTGAAGCCACAACACGCACAACCTTGAGGCGGATGGGCTACAACAGCAGAAGACCCCACCGGGTACCACTCATCTCCACTACAAATAGGAAAAAGAGGCTACAATTTGCAAGAGCTCACCAAAATTGGACAGTTGAAGACTGGAAAAATGTTGCCTGGTCTGATGAGTCTCGATTTCTGTTGAGACATTCAGATAGTTCGAATTTGGCGTAAACAGAATGAGAACGTGGATCCATCATGCCTTGTTACCACTGTGCAGGCTGGTGGTGGTGGTGTAATGGTGTGCGGGATGTTTTCTTGGCACACTTTAGGCCCCTTAGTGCCAATTGGGCATCGTTTAAATGCCACGGCCTACCTGAGCATTGTTTCTGACCATGTACATCCCTTTATGGCCACCATGTACCCATCCTCTGATGGCTACTTCCAGCAGGATAATGCACCATGTCACAAAGCTCGAATCATTTCAAATTGGTTTCTTGAACATGACAATGAGTTCACTGTACTAAAATGGCCCCCACAGTCACCAGATCTCAACCCAATAGAGCATCTTTGGGATGTGGTGGAACGGGAGCTTCGTGCCCTGGGTGTGCATCCCACAAATCTCCATCAACTGCAAGATGCTATCCTATCAATATGGGCCAACATTTCTAAAGAATGCTTTCAGCACCTTGTTGAATCAATGCCACGTAGAATTAAGGCAGTCAAACACAGTATTAGTATGGTGTTCCTAATAATCCTTTAGGTGAGTGTATGTATCCCTTTTATAGCCTATATTTATATTCTGAAATTGATCGTTGAGAGAGAAAAAAAAAACAATAGCCATTTGTTGCGAATATTTAAAACTGATTGTGAATCAAGGCATGTTTTTCACAGTATTTTCCATTAAATGAACACAAGAAAATGGAACTATTTATGTACAAAAATAACAATACATAGTAATAACATATATTTAGATATTTCCATATATACTTGCATATATTTTTTCTAAAACATTTTAATATGTGAAAAAAGCCACATGGGGACTTTATGATGCAATTTAATCACTGAATCAACGTTTTATATGCAAGGACAGATATTTATCAAAAGTGGCAGTAAAGACTTTTCCATTGTTACAAAGAAGTTCTGTTTCAAATAAATGCTGTCCTTTTGAATTATTCTATTAATGAACTTTCTATTCACCAAGACATCCTGAAAAATCTACAATAATATTAAGCAGCACAATAGTTTTCAACAATAATAATAATAAGAAGAAATGTTTCTTAAGGAACCAAATCAGCATATCAGAATTTCTGAAGGATCATGTGACACTGAAGACTGGCGTAATGAGGCTGAAAATACAGCTTTGATCACAGGAATAAATTACATTTTAAAATATATTATTATATATTATATTACCCATCCCTAGTACTTGGCCATCTGATTCCAGTTCAGCCATTATGGTCTTATAATTGCAGCAGTGTGCTGCCTTGGCAGAACAGTGTTACTTTCTACAAGCTCATGCAGGGACACACAGTTCACAGCACTTGGACAGACACGAGGTTCATGGGCAAGGTGAGAGGAGGGTGTAAATGAGACTCTGGTGGACCAGAGAGCCTCCTAAATATGAACTCGGCTTAAATGGTGTGCTGGTGTGAAACAGCACAGTAAGAGGTATTGGAAATCTTCCCTGCGAGGTTTGCAGGTTGGTTTGATTGACAATTCTGACGGACAGGTGTCACTCAGCCTGTTTTGTTTATTGTGTCTTCTATTCCAGATGCCCCACCCTTGGATCGAGAAGAACTGTTTGTCCAGAAACTGCGGCAGTGCTGTGTGCTTTTTGACTTTGTGACTGATCCACTAAGTGATCTCAAGTACAAGGAGGTGAAGAGAGCCGGCCTTAATGAAATGGTGGAGTACATCACACACAACCGTGAGGTGGTCACAGAGTCCATCTACCCCGAAGCTGTCATCATGGTGAGAGGGCACAAATATCCCCTAAGCAGACATACATCAATGAATCCCATTTAGGGGATGCGGTTATGCTTGATTATGGCAAAAATCATATCATAAAATGAATTCTATCACTGTTACTTTGGTCAGTATTATAATCACGATAAATTAAGACGATAGGTAGGGCTGGACGATTTTGGCTAAAATCATAATCGCGATTAATCAAACAAGTTACCTCGATTACGATTATTTTAGTTTTTTTTTTCTTTGTCATATGTCACTGGCAAGGCTTATACTGTAAATATGTTCACGGTTATTTTTTCTAATGAAAGAGTGCATAATCCTATCTTTGTGATTCTAAAATAAGTAAACACACAGATAGCTTTTAATGCTTATTTATTAAATATTTCAAACAATTGAATCAAACAAAGCATACAATGCTTGAAATAAAAACGTCTTATAAAAAAGTCATTAAGTTTTAATGTAAAAAGAAAGTTTCTTGTTGCTGGGCGTTTGTCAGTCTCTCTCTCTTTTTTTTGCGTGTTTCTTTGGTACAAGCGGCTCCAGTAGCTGAGTTGACTCGGTGTTTGAGTTCCCTTTCACAAAGAGATTCTGGAAAACACACGGATAAAGTGAACCGGGATTTGACCCGGGTTCGTTTGACTTTGGTTCATTCACACTGCCAGTGATTTTCCGGAATCAGAGAGTGCGTTCACACACAACCCGCAAAGACACGTGACATGCTTATGAGCTGCGATTTCTCTCTCTCGAGAAACCACGCTTGTGCTTTTTTTTTTCTGATTCGATCATAAACTAGCGCATTACGTACCGTTTCACGCTGGGGAACGATCCCGGCAAAGCGCCATCATTACGACACGGCATTGATTGATTAAGGCTTTTGTTCACACAGCGCGCATTCCGGGACTGAACACGGCAATGTTACTATGTCCCCAACCTGGCATCAATCCCGGGTCGTGTTTGCGTTCACACAGAAGGTGTTTGTTCTGGCAATTTCCCGGGATCAACGCGCTGTGTGAAAGGGGCTCATGTTGCTTCAATGTCGCAGACTGGACGGGGCGGAGTTACGTGACTACACACGCGGTAATATGTTTTAAGGGGAAAGTACATTAAAGGGTTAGTTCACCCAAAAATGAAAATTCTGTCAGTAATTACTCACCCTAATGTTGTTCCAACCCCGTAAGACTTTCGTTCATCTTCGGAACACAAATTAAGATATTTTTAATGAAATCTGAGAGCTGGATCACTCCTCCATAGGCTTCTTAAGGGATCGAAACTGGCCGGCCCAAAAGTTATGAAAGACATCGTTAAAATAGTCCGAGTAACTACAGTGGCTCAACCTTAAGTTCATCAAGCGACGAGAATACTTTTTGTGCGCAAAAAACAAACAAAAAGAACGACTTTATTCAACTACTCTGTAAGGCCGTGATATTTCACGTAGTGAAACTACGCAAAGCTTCTAGGTTGTACGTCACGCATCACACACATGACCAGCGTCGGCCAATAGTGAGCCTGCGTGTGACGTGCAACCTAGAAGCTTTGCGCAATATCACTACGTGAAATATCACGGCCTTACAGAGTAGTTGAATAAAGTCGTTAGAATAAAGTCGAGTAGTTGAAAACGTTCCTAGGGGAACCGTTAGTTCTCGGGGAACCACCCTGGTGGCTAGTTCCTAGAACTACCCGGTGTGACGGTATTTATATAACCGTGAGACCAACGATTATAGTTGAACACGGTCATTAGAACTCTATAACCGCCAAAACCGTGTTATTAAAATATTTTTTACGAACATTTTTTATCATACATTTTTTTATCATACATTTTTTTAAATACTAATATCAGCTTTCGAGGGAAACGGAGGAGGAGTTAGTGGTGCTTCGGAGGCTGCTACTGCTGGAGATGATTCGGGAGAGGTCTGTGCCCCTTTACCGATCAGAGCGTGTGCTGAGACAGAGTAAAGCCTTGTTTATACTCGACGCGTCCGCACGAGCGCGAAGATGCGCGTGGCAAAAATGCAAGATTACCGGCAAGACCCCATTTCGCTTGGCTGTGTGCACGGCTTTTTTTTGTAACAGCGCACGCGACGCCGCATCCGAGGATGAACGACTTCAAGCCGAATCTGCCCGAGCATGTACGTCTCACCGCACCGGCACCCAGTATGCGCGTCTAAATTGCAAAGTTTTTTTTGTTAAGGTTTTGTTTACTGTGTGTGATTTATTTAATGGAAAGCACATTCACTTCTAGTTGTCTTGCTGTTCATTTTAAATAAACGTAGAACAAGTAGCTAATCAGTGTCTGCTCGTTCATTCAAACTAAGTTGTCCTATAACAGACGAACCCAAAAAAATCTGGTTTTATTGTTTCAGTTTGTTGACTTTTTTTTACAGACTCAATGACTCGTATAGTTATTTATAAATGTCATTTTGGTGATCAAAGTTGAGTTTGAAGGGATCAAATTATTGACTACATAGGGGCCTTTAATATCAAGCATGTCGCACAGCTATATCCCCATTACCTTTTATACATGGTCCCCGTGCATATAAGCAATGTGTGGCTTAGTTCACACCACCCTACCTCTCTTGAATGGTCGAAATTGAAGCTAAATAAAGTGCTGCATTTCAAAAATCAAATGTAGTTTTTTTTTTTAAATGGAAAATTGCCCCTCTAATTCAGTTTCCATGGCAACATTAATCCTCTCCTACCATTCTGAGATCCCTCAGAATTGGAAACACACTAAGGTGATGCCTCAGCTGCACTGTATCGGTGACTCACCCTTCAGTGACAAGTGGCATGGGGGATTTAGAGGTATTGTGTATTAAACCTATAATCTAAAAAACATTTCATAAATCTTCATTTGACACCTAAATGTGTCAAGTCATTTTGCCTCATTTTGTTCTTGTACCGCATACACATTTATTTTGTAAAGTTGTTGGTCTATATACACACATATGTTAAACATTAGCTTCCACTACTTTTTTCTTAGTATTTCTTTCCTTCTTACTAGAGATTTTAACAGATATATTCGCAGATATATCGCCGAACTTTTTTTTTACAGAACATACATCGCGGATAAAATGCTTGTAAATTGTGTAATCATGAGTTTGTCCAGCAGAGCGCGCTCCATTGTTTGCTACTGGCGACCCAGGTCACTGTAGTAGTGACACCACCCTTTCACTTCAGAGGTCTCTTCAGACACGGTGTAAGATGCGCACACATTAGCTTCCACTCCACTGACAAGGTATGAAACATGGCTAGCTAGCTAATGTAGCAAACGAGTATGATAAGCTCGTTGTGAGAGTAAAAAACGAGGACATTCACCAGACTCATGCCACCACCGCACTGGTAACTAGTTAGCAACATACATTTAAGACACCGCTTGACTGCTTGTCTGCTGCTGCCTGAACAAGACAGCGGACGCGAGCGGCGCGATGCGCCAAAAGACAGTTGAACCCATTATAATCAGTGATGATGTCTACACTGGAGAGCGTGAGCGACAAATCTCCGACAGTAAACTGATGCCTCATTCTATTTATGACGTACTGACGCGAAGTACAAATGCTTAGACACGGTGTTAAAGCCCATTCTGCCTATAACGCTACGTTACAACATCAAGCAATATTCCAATGATTTATATAATTATAACACTTTATATATGGCCATTTTGCATATTGAGTAGTTTCATATTTAGTACATTTTGCTGACTGACTGAAAGTACTGTACATATGTAATTAAACATGTTTTCATTATGGGATTATAGTTCTTCCTCCACTGGTGGAGACTAGAGGAATTAAGACTAATAATAGAAGATGATAAGGTTTTGCCAGTTACACTTGATATTGATATTGATAAGTTATTTTTTATATAACGTGACTAAATAAAAAGATAAAGACATTAGTGAAGATTATGCAACAGTATTTATAATATAATTTAGAATATAAAATGCAATGCAAACTAGTTTGGTACAGCTCAAATATATCATTCTCATTCTGTCATTCACCCTGCCTCCATTACACATCTTTGTCACACAAGTGGTTGATCACCACATCTGAGTGATCATTGCAAAAAATGTGTTTATATATATATATATATATATATATATATATATATATATATATTCTGTTTGTGTGTACTGTATTCTATATACAGTACCATTCAAAAGTTTGTACACACGAATGGGAAAGTCCGTCCAAACTTTTGACTGGTTCTGTACTATAATATACACATAAATATTATTGCTACTGTATTATAATATACACATAAATAATATCGGCAGATATATCGACATCAGGCTTTTTTTTACTCCCTAATATCGGCATTGGCATCAGCCCCCAAAAATCCATATCGGTCGGGCTCTACTTACCCGCATATATGTTTATTAGCTAAATCTCATTAGGGCTGGGCGATATGGAGCAAAAAATATATCTCGATATCTTTACAGGAAAAATAACCCAACAAAAACTACTGCAAAAACAAATATGCCAAATACCACAGTCTTTTTTTATTGGAGTGCAAAGAGGTAGGCAGTTCATGTAGTCCAAAGTGCGAAATCAGAATTAAATATAAACAATATATCTATGTCAAAATCCATATCGTGTTTAAAAAATATCTTAATATATTTTAAATATCTCGATATATTGCCCACCCCTAATTCTCATCAGAAGATAATAGGACAAAACATGCTTGAAACTGCACACCTCTGCCTATCATGTCACCAATTGACAGAAATGGCTTTTGCCTGACCAGTGCATGGGTGATTACTAGCCAGGCCAAGGATAAAATCTGCTCAAGTGTAAATGTACACCAGGGAATTGTGGGTAATTACCCGTCATAAATCAAGACCCAGACACCTGCGTTTCCTTTCAGCCATTCATAATTCGGAAAAGAGATCATCTGTGTCCTAAATAAGGCTCTGCAATACACAACTTTATTTTTCATCAATTTAATATCATGTATTTGCTCTGAGTCTAAAATAAAAGAAAATGGTTTAAAAGGTGATTTTTGTTTTTATATATAATATATACACTCACCGGCCACTTTATTAGGTACACCTGTCCAACTGCTCGTTAACACTTAATTTCTAAGCAGCCAATCACATGGCGGCAACTCAGTGCATTTAGGCATGTAGACATGGTCAAGACAATCTCCTGCAGTTCAAACCGAGCATCAGTATGGGGAAGAAAGTTGATTTGAGTGACTTTGAACGTGGCATGATTGTTGGTGCCAGAAGGGCTGGTCTGAGTATTTCAGAAACTGCTAATCTACTGGGATTTTCACGCACAACCATCTCTAGGGTTTACAGAGAATGGTCCGAAAAAGAAAAAACATCCAGTGAGCGGCAGTTCTGTGGGCGGAAATGCCTTGTTGATGCCAGAGGTCAGAGGAGAATGGCCAGACTGGTTCGAGCTGATAGAAGGGCAACAGTGACTGAAATAACCACTCGTTACAACCGAGGTATGCAGCAAAGCATTTGTGAAGCCACAACACGCACAACCTTGAGGCGGATGGGCTACAACAGCAGAAGACTCCACCGGGTACCACTCATCTCCACTACAAATAGGAAAAAGAGGCTACAATTTGCAAGAGCTCACCAAAATTGAACAGTTGAAGACTGGAAAAATGTTGCCTGGTCTGATGAGTCTCGATTTCTGTTGAGACATTCAGATGTTAGAGTCAGAATTTGGCGTAAACAGAATGAGAACATGGAACCATCATGCCTTGTTACCACTGTGCAGGCTGGTGGTGGTGGTGTAATGGTGTGGGGGATGTTTTCCTGGCACACTTTAGGCCCCTTAGTGCCAATTGGGCATCGTTTAAATGCCACGGCCTACCTGAGCATTGTTTCTGACCATGTCCATCCCTTTATGGCCACCATGTACCCATCCTCTGATGGCTACTTCCACCATGTCACAAAGCTCTAATCATTTCAAATTGGTTTCTTGAACATGACAATGAGTTCACTGTACTAAAATGGCCTCCACAGTCACCAGATCTCAACCCAATAGAGCATCTTTGGGATGTGGTGAAACGGGAGATTCGCATCATGGATGTGCAGCCGACAAATCTGCGGCAACTGTGTGATGCCATCATGTCAATATGGACCAAACTCCCTGAGGAATGCTTCCAGCACCTTGTTGAATCTATGCCACGAAGAATTGAGGCAGTTCTGAAGGCAAAAGGGGGTCCAACCCGTTACTAGCATGGGGTACCTAATAAAGTGGCCGGTGAGTGTGTATATATATATATATATATATATATATATATATATATATATATATATATATATATATATATATAATTGTTTTCCACAGTTTTAACTAAATGCAAAGATACATATTAATACACAGCAATATCTACATACATGAACATGCATGGAAAAACTACTATCACAGCCTTTATGAAAGCCAAATAAAAGTGCATTTAAGTCATTGTGATATAAAAAAAATTATCTGGTGTATATTGTGAACATTTATATCAGCAAGTCCCATTTCTAATCATAAATCTTGTGGCTCTATTGTAAGACAATCGCAACCAAATAACTAAAACCTCTTAGCTTTCAGATGCACATTGTCCTCTCACGTCCCTCATCCTCTCTTGTACTCATTAGACTCTCATGTCCCGCTCTCCCGTCTCAGCTCGAGGTGTCAATGAGAATGTCTCGCCCTCCCTCTCCTGTCTGGAGGTCTGAGTCGACTCTATTTTGAGGCTGTGGTCGAAACATTGCGTCATTTTGACAGAAAGCCGTGCCACCCCTCTGCAGTAGTAACACTCCTGTCCTTCCTCTCAGCTATTTTGGGACACAAGTGATAAGCAGCATCTTACCACTTGTCACTTCAGAGCGAGTTGATATTTGAGGTCATGCATATTTAATGCCTTTGATTCATAATTAGAGCTAAAGAAGGATGACATTTAATTTTTTGTAGTTTTTTAGGTTTTTAGAGCTGAATTTTTAGTGCAAACATAATGGTGAAGTTTACAGACGGTTTCAAGAGGGGTATATTAAAAAAATACCAAATGCATTCATATTAAAAGGATAGTTCTGACTCTTTTTCTGACTCTAAACTCTGATTGGACAGGTAATGTTCAAAGCCACTGTAAAATGCCAGTACACACCTGTCACCATATATTCTATATTAATGCACCAAATTGCTTTCCAATTGTTTGGCTAAAGTTATACAAACTATATATTACTTCCTGAAAGAATTTATTATTCTGATTATTAATTAGCATAAGTAAATGTAACTATATTTTTTTATTTTGAGCTCGTGGCTCAGATTCAGCATTGGCGTGTTTTTATTTTTGGTGACGCTCACACAGAATGCAAGACAGAACGCATTAAAATGAAACGCACCAGGAATTCAAAGGAGAACTTTTCAATTAACAGCGTCCTATCAAGCGAAAACTGACATTTGTCGGCCAAAAACGTCCATCTGACACATCTCTACATAAGCCAACAATTAATAATGGTGCATGTGGAAAGCAATAGCAAAAGCAACAGCACGAGTGCCTTCCATGATGAGTTTGGTGGACATTGATAATGCTTATTGAAAACACAATTATAAATTAAACTTCAAAATGTAAGTTTTGGCTTTACAAGTCAGTTTTCTGTGTGAAGAAATTTAAAACAAATTCAAGAACATAATTTGTATAACAATATTCCAGTGCAGCAATAATAATAATAATATTTTGTAACCTGTAAATAATAATAAAACAGAAAAGCCCCTGCAATAACGACGAATCCACACAATAATAATAATAATAATACTACTTGGTGCCGTGATACTTTAACAAAAAAAGTATTGCAACAGAAAGGTATTGTGGTTTATTATAGTACTGTAATGACAGATAATGTGTTTCTTTTTTTCAGTTTTCTGTAAACTTGTTCAGGACTCTTCCGCCCTCTTCCAATCCTACGGGAGCAGAGTTTGACCCTGAAGAGGATGAACCCACTCTGGAGGCCGCTTGGCCCCACCTGCAGGTGTGTGTGGACCTTCATATTATCATAACACTAGTTGTCTACCCAGTAGACCCCACAAGTACCTTGTGTCATTAAGTTTGCAATATCAGCGTTCTAAATTCGGCTCTAAAAGCCCTGTCATATTTATAAAAATCTTAAGTGTATTAGTGGTGTACGAGGTGTAAAGTAATAAAGGTGTAAAGTAATAAAGGCCATTTCACTTCACCTAATAGGCCTGTAGATGGCACATGGACTTAAAGGGATAGTTCACTTTGAAATAAATTTTTGGTATGTTTTAGCTTACCTCAAGGGCATCCAAGATGTAGGTGTCTTTGTTTCCGCAGTAGTTTCAATTTTAATATTTTTAGGTCAAACCGTTCTTGTCTGTCAGTCATATAATGCAGGTCTATGGTCATCACCACCTCAAAGAGCATGCACAGAGAAGTCCAAATTAAACATGATTTAATGACTCGTAAATGTAAGTACACATTGATGGCCTAAGACACGAAACGAGCGGTTTGTGTGAGAAAACGAACAGTATTTATATCGTTTTGACCTCTTGTAAACACAGCCACGACCAAGTGATCTGAGGGCGCGGGCGCTTCGGTCTGCGCAAGCGCTTGAAGTGATCTCTCGCGCGTGTACGTCACTCATACAATTTATTTATTTATTTATTTATTTATTTATTTATTTTTACGACGGTTTAAACATCCCGGATAAGCGCAAATTAGTACCATTTTAATTAGCCGTCTTACCTACAATCTCTGTTCTGTGTAAACAATGAGTGACGTACACGCGCGAGAGATCACTTCCGGCACTTGCGCAGACCGAAGCGCCCGCGCCCTCAGATCACTTGGACGTGGCTGTGTTTACAAGAGGTAAAAACGATATAAATACTGTTCGTTTTCTCACACAAACCGCTCGTTTCGTGTCTTAGGCCATCAATGTGTACTTACATTTACGAGTCATTAAATCATGTTTAATTTGGACTTCTCTGTGCATGCTCTTTGAGGTGGTGACCATAGACCTGCATTATATGACTGACAGACAAGAACGGTTTGACCTAAAAATATCAAAATTGAAACTACTGCGGAAACAAAGACACCGACATCTTGGATCCCCTTGAGGTAAGCTAAAACATACCAAAAATTAATTTCAAAGTGGACTATCCCTTTAATTTAACCAACTATGACAGCTTCATTAAAACGGGAAATCAATACAAAAAACGATGGCTCCTAATCTTAATTCCAATAATTACAAATGTTAAATTTTTACTTTCTACTTAGGTTGCATTAATACATTTATTTATCAAACATGATCGCAAACAATATGGTCGAGATTCATGTTTGGATTTATTACAGTTTGACAGAGAGAAGGTTCACTCGCAGATTTAGTAGCTGTAAATCACACACCCGGCCTCGTGAACACAGATTGGCTGTATGACACTTTCACTCTAGCAGAATTTCACAGTGGACAAGGACATCGCTAAACTTACACGTATATGTTTGTCGGTGTTGTCAGATCATCAGCGCTCTTTTGCAGCCCAGAGAAAGCGTGTGCGCATGGTTGCCAGGAAGAGAAGATTAAGTAGAACATTGGACAGAAACCGTGTCCTTTTAAGATAAAAGCTCAGTTTGGGTGATTTATGCTCTTGACATCTGGCAACCTGAAGCAGGAAAGATAGTGGAGGCTCCTTACCAATGCAAGATATCGAGAGAAGCAGATATCATCATCACGATTAAAGCACGATTAATCGTGCAGCCCTATAGTGTATGTTAAAGTTTGGTGGTTGGCCTTTCATGTGCAAAGAGAGCATCACATGTGTCCTTTGAGCTCGGAAAAATATGAGATTCATAGCAGTGCAATGCATATCCAAGATAGACGAAGCAAGAGGATGTGGAATATAAAAATATCATTCAGTACAAAATAGTGTGGATAAAAATAGTTTAGTCAAATTAAAATTGACTTTATATTAGTGTTATAAGTTGAAGTATGAAGTTGTAAGATTTATCACTATGCTAAAGTCAAACTCAAGTGCAGAGCACTATTTGTGTGGGTCGCAGAGTTGCTGCGTATGTAGTGCATTTTGGTGTCTGTCTCAAATGATTAAAAAATCAATTTTTGCAAGAACTGACAGCATTTATTGTTTTGGTGGCAAAGAGAACCTGACAGATGCATTCATCATATATTAATCTTTATTATATCTCTTATTCTCTCCCCCTCTTTCTCCCTTCTTCAGCTGGTTTATGAATTCTTCTTGAGATTCCTAGAGTCACCTGACTTCCAGCCCAATGTTGCCAAAAAATACATCGACCAAAAGTTTGTAATGTCGGTGAGTGTCTTTTCTTCTGATCTATATCTGCATCATGGTTTGTCCTCATCAGCACACAATCAGAGGAATATAAACACTCTATACATACATACATATATATTAGGGGTGTAACGATTCATTCGTTTTCTCGATGCATCGATTACAAATCCTGACGATGCATATGCATCGATCTTGAAACATGTATTTCGAATCGTGAATCGTTTATTTCGGTCAATATTCGATTTAAAATGCTAAGAATCGAATAATTTGCGATTCTATATCGATTCAGTGCTTTAAAACATATAAACATTAAATGACTACATGCGCGAATTAATGAGGCGTTGTGCGGCGTCATTTCGCGTCCTCACAGCTCTCACATACTCGCTGCACTCTTACCATCTTTCACTGGATTTCGCTCGCGCTCGGTCCCATATAGCTCTCATCTACAGATTTTTGAGCAGTCCGTGTTTGAGCTCTCCTCAGGACAGGTGTTCACATGAGCAGATGACAGCTCTCTATCGAGAAAGCAAGCCATCGATAAAGCTGTCATTGCGCGGTCACTGCTATGAAACAACGCGTTCGTTGCGTGGAAACGTCACCGTTATTTTCTTTAAGATAAGATAGGCTACTGAAGTTTTACGGAAATGGGTCATACCCGTCCTGAGCAGTTAAAGTAAAACCCCACTTATTCAAGGGTGCGCATTTATTACATGGAAAGAGAAAACGTATAATAGGTGTCTAAAATGCACACGCTTCCAATTAATCATGAATGATGAATGAAATGTAACTTAATGTCGTTAAACTGAGCTGATGAAATAACTACAACATTAATTACACTGAAATAAGAGCGCGTGGTTTATCCATCAATCAGATGCGCATTAAAGTTGCATTCGTAATCGTTAATATAGCACAAGTAGACAGCCGGCGCGTTTTCTTTCAGAATCACAAGGACAATCAGTCGAGTAGCTATTCCATGAGGAAACGTTAGTTAAGGTTTAGTTGGGAAAGTTCATGGTATTTTTAGTCTCACAATGGAGGATGTTTAATGTACCAGGAACACTTTAAGGTTGTGTATCCATTCCTACAAAATAGTTTGCATGATGAACTAACTATACATTTAAAGCCTTTTTAAATCTTGGTTTACATTTTTACAAATGCTAATTTATAGGCTTTGGAAATATTTTTTATAATAATAGATTCATTAAAAACTAACATGGACTAACGTTAACAATTAGACAAAATGTCGTTTTTTTTTTTCACCCTCTGACCCCCGAAGGCAGCTGTATAATTCACACCCTGACTAAGACCCATAGGGGGAAGCATTTAAATAATCCTATGAATGCATATAAAAAATTAAGAATCGAATCGAATTAATCGAATCGCATCGAATTTTAATGTGAATCGCATTGAATCGAATCTTTCTGAATTTGCAAAAAATCGTTCTTGAATCGAATCGAAAACCTATGAATCGTGAATCGAATCGATTCGCTGCCTACCCAAAGATTCACAGCCCTAATATATATATATATGTATCTATGAAGCTTGACTCACCATTGGGTAGTAAATTTTCTTTTTTACTCACCAGCCTTTACATGGAATCCAAGAACAAAACAAATGAATAAGTTCTATAGCATTATATAATTGTAAATTATTAATATACAGTCTGTAATAAAATAAGAACAGATGATGAAATTACAAGAAATAGCACAAATGAAAACAGCAGAACAAAGATAATGCGTAATGGCAACAACTTCTCATGTAGTCTTACGCCAGATAAAAGAGGACTTATGCTTAACAGAAGCTTGAACGTGTGTGACACGCTAGAACAGACCTCATTGGTTCTTGCACGCCACGCGAGTTGATGTTAAATAAAGGATCAGGCGTAGGATAGCCGATACCGATCAGTTTAAAAAAAATCTTAATCGGCCCGATACCAATCCTTGAGATCAGCTCGGGGCGTCCCTACTTTGTGCACTTTGGTGGACAGATTTTTTTATTATTAATGATAATACTGGTATCTGGAGAGCAGGATTCTGGGCCTAGAATTGTATTGACCTAGCAGTGTTTCAAGAGTGTGATATGGAGTACAACTCACTTGGTATTAGTGGTGCAACGGATAAAAAAACTCACGGTTCGGATTGTTTCTCGGATCAGAGTCACGGATCGGATCATTTTTCGGATCAGCAAAAAAGACAAGACAAATAAACACACGATTTTTGTCTTTTTGTTTATTAACACTTTTAAATTATTAAATTAGAATATATAAAATCAGCTTAAAGTGCACAAGGCATAATATCTTATTTTTAGAGATATTAGGGGGGTTGACTTACCGAAACGGGCCAATCAGGATGCTCTCTGTCTTACATGCGCACACACGCAAGGTCTCTCGCTCTCTCCCTCTCTGCCGTGCGCGCTACACAGTTATGCGCGCAGTATGTTCTGTCTCGCATGTGCGCTCTAGATTCCGGGAGATTTGAACTAATTTGCGGGAGCCGCTATCAATATGCGGGATTTTTATAAGTTCATTTTTTTAGGCCAATTCAGCGCAACTCTGGACTGTCCGGTCAAAATCCGGACGTATGGCCACCCTACTACACACACCGTCACGGTTTTATCCACTAACCTCTTTCCTTCATCATTATATTTGACAGGGAAGCCAAAATGCTCCCATACAGGGGATTTAAATGACGCGGGCGTTCAAGCTCCTCCGTTCCTCCGCTCGCCATGACCACGCTGGGGAGATGTGTGTGTGGACTGAACATGCGTACAAGTTTTTTTTTCTTTTCATAAATCAATCCGCGGATCACGTGTGTGCCGAACCGAAGATATTGATCCGAACGGATCACGGATCAATGATGATCCGTTGCACCACTACTTGGTATGTTTACATACACTTTTTCTTTTTCAAATAAGTCCAATCCGATTTCAGAATCTGAAATGATTGGTTATATGAACCCTAAACACTGCAGTCCGATTCGTTTACATGTATTCTGAGCAAAACTTCAGCGCAGCCACCGGGTTCATAACATGAGAAAGCCACTGGTAATGTCACTGGAACTGCCTTTTGGATTGATGACATATCTAAAATGAAAGCTGAGATTTGTCACAAGAGCTTTTTTAGCATGTATTTAGCTAATATTTTGTCTCATGCTTTATTTTTTCCCCTTTTGATCAGATTATATAAGGTCTACACTAACTGTTTGTTTACAAGTGTTTACAGGTTTGAGCTATCAGTCTGATTATAAACGGATGTATTTGGATGCATGTAAACGTAGCTACTGGGATTGGGTCTGAGAACCCAACTAATGATTGAGCTAATGGATTCGGTTGACCTTATTTCTCTTCAGCTTCTGGAGCTTTTTGACAGTGAAGACCCCAGAGAGCGGGACTTCCTAAAAACCATCCTGCACAGGATCTATGGAAAGTTCCTGGGGCTGAGAGCCTACGTCCGTCGGCAGATCAACAATATATTCTACAGGCAAGCTGTCCTTTGCATATGGTTCCTTCGGCTATCAAAATGTTCTCATTCATAAACTTTTTTTGTAAGAGTAGATGCAGAAACTGTGAGCTCTTAGATGCAAGTCTGTCTTTGAATTAGCCAAGCTTGGCGATTGTGAGAAAACGGGAAGCTCTTCCAGAATTCATCCATTGAGTCGATGTCCTTGATCTCGCACTGTAGGTTTATATACGAGACGGAGCATCACAATGGGATTGCAGAGCTCTTAGAAATCTTAGGAAGGTGAGTGTGACCACTATCAGTGTTGCCATGACAAATCTGAAGTGAGGTCTTTCTCTCTTTGCCGGACTGAAAGAACCTGTCCGTCACATGACCGATCTCATGTTCTTCCCACAGCATAATTAATGGCTTTGCCCTGCCGCTGAAAGAGGAGCACAAAATGTTCCTCATCAGAGTGCTTCTGCCTTTACACAAAGTCAAGTCTCTCAGCGTCTATCACCCACAGGTACGCTTAAGGAAGACTCTTCTGAACATATTTGTTTTGTTGAGGACTTTTATGCTGAAAGGATTGCTTTCACTAAAGTGATTGTGTGAAAAAATTCTACTGTAAAATTTACAGTATTCTCAAAACTTTTAGTAATTGCATTAACCACCGTTAGTTCAAGTCCTAAAATGTGATTGGCTGACTGGCGTTAATCATTTTGTATAACACTGGAATGTTTCTCTGTTTTTATCAGTCCACGTATCATTTTAAGCTTCTATTGGGGAGGAAGAAAAATATGCAAACTCATGGTACTGAATGAAAGACTCTTGGTAACCCGAGGCTGAATAGCACTCTTGCTTGCATGATTTAAAAATAAAGAAATAATTTTTAAAAATACAATTTTATTTGCTTGCATTTGAAAAAAATTCGGAACCAAAAAAATTGGAGACCTTTTTGGCAGCTAATAGTTATTTCAGATTTGAGGTAATGCGTTCAGTTCAATCATTTCTCTTCATGTCTGACATTAGACCAAGGGCAAGTAGGAAAGCTTTACACTACAGCAACTAAGGGGCGTTGGTTTAGTTCCACACCATGAGGATGCACCTTTTTTCTAACAAGCTCTTACATTTCTTTCTTCGCAGTGATATTTGAAAGTGAAACACCCATGAATTTTGCATAACCACATGTGAAAGAATTCATATTTTCCAGTTTAGTGCTTCATCCAGCATATCGCCCTCCCCTGCCTCACTGTATCCATAGTTTATAAGTATTAGAGGTTATGATGTTTTGCACAATGTATTAATAGAATTAGGAATAGCAGTGGCTCAATGTTAGTCATCCTATTCATAGATTTCATGTGACGTCACACAGTGGAGCGGCCGCCATTTGTAGGACCGAATTGCAACATGCCGTCTATCTGCTGTGCTGTAAACTGTGATAACAGCAAATCACAAAGATATGTTGAGAAATTAACGTTGACCTGGAAATTTATATAAAAGTAAAATTAGCAAATTACAGGTTAGCTAGCTAAATTAAAACATGTAGTTTACAATTGGAACACGTATTCTCTATACAACCTTATTCTAGACCGCTATCTATATTTACATTATAACCTTAGTTATACGTTTGGCTGAATTATGTTGTTGTTACCTGCTTCAGTATGCTAAACTACAGCTCACTGTTTCTGCCTTAATGCATTTTTTAAATTAATAGATTATTAGCTAACTGCATGATTTATATACATTGCTGAAATGCATAACTCGGACACTCTAAATTGTAATGTAGACACATGCATTTTCTAAAAAAGCTGCTTTGATTGTGAAAAGCGCCATACAAATAAATGAGAATTGAAAATAAAGGTGTCCAAACGTCACTGATAATACAAGAGATATGTGCTTTACAACATTATTAGCAATTCAGTTCAGCGATGCTTTTATGTTCAGCGATTACTGGTGTAACGTTAATATTGCTTGATTAACAGAGTGCCACTTACCCTTCCTGTTATCAAGAAAATTTTCTTCATGGGGGCATTTAATACAACACTAAATCATAAATCAGATATACCTGTACAATAACATTACGATGTCCAGCAATCAATGTAAATAGTCCATTGAATTTAATTTGTTGTTTAATGACATTCAACATCCGACTATATTACATATGTACTTTGATGGTCCAGTGGCGGAACTTTTGCCAAGCGTGTCAGAGGTTCTGGGTTCTAATCCGCCCTCGTACCCTTTTTTATTAAAAAACCCTTATTAAAATCGATTGTGTTTATCAGTGGTTGTATATCAGTCAGGAACACATTTGTGTGCATTTTATTTTGTGATTTCATTAAAGCGCGCGTCCGTGTGAAGACTGTGCGGTGTGCGCGAGTCACGAGAGAACACTGTTTCTGCACCACTGATCCAGAGTCAACAAGCACTTTGATCACTTGATTTAAAAAACAACACATTTCAGCGTGCTAGATCACCTCTTATTTTACTTTTATTTATGTGTATTGGTACATCCGTGCCGCGAGATGTTTCAAAAGTGGTGGGGACATGGAGAGGGATTGTGGACGAGGTAACGTTAGATGTAAATGTCAGCAAACGTAAAATTTGGCAAGTTTTTACTAGACTTTAGTGGAGTCAGCAGTTCGTTTAACAGTAAATACGGATCTATACCTAAAGTATCTATTTTATTTAAATACCGTTGCTTTTCATCTGTGCTATTTAAGTGTGCAACATCTTTCCGATCACCAGGGAGAGATTATGCGATTTAACGCAATGGTCCTAAAGATGGCGGCCACAACAAAAAAGTCACGTGACTGAAACCCATGAATTGTGTTCTTTTTGGGGGGGAAAGTAATTTTCTGTGCTTTCAGCTGGCCTACTGTGTGGTGCAGTTTTTGGAAAAGGACAGCAGCCTCACTGAACCTGTAAGATTTACAGCATTGGCAACTGCACCGTTTTCTGTCACTAAGTATTTTTCTGTATAAATTCTTTATTCATGGTGAACTTGAACTTAACTGGTGCAAAGATGACTCTCTCAGCCTTGTGTCTTCCTCTTCGGCATCAGGTGATTATGGGCCTGCTGAAGTTCTGGCCTAAGACCCACAGTCCTAAGGAGGTGATGTTTCTGAATGAACTGGAGGAAATCTTGGATGTCATTGAGCCCTCAGAGTTTGTTAAAGTCATGGAGCCTCTGTTTAGACAGCTGGCCAAGTGTGTATCAAGTCCACACTTCCAGGTATGAAAGCACTGATCTCGTTCTATCACTGAACATTGGGCATCATTTACATAATCTTTTACATATCGTCGATGTCGGGCAGAAACCTTGTATCTCCTTATTTCATCTCTCTTTTTTTTCCATAAATCATTACTATTGGTAACCCTTTACGTCTGTCTGTGGGTTTTGCAAGTATTTAACCAATTAACCCTTGTGCATCCGTATGGACATTTTAGTTTTTTTATCACTTTGCCCGTGTTAATGCTAACTGCATAAAATTTGGCACAGGTGTGTATTTTTATTGGGATTTTATTGGACTATTTCACCCCCATTTCCTTTAAAAAAATCTATTATGCACTAGGTACACAAAATAGTTCCTCTCAGCGCCTTTTGGACAAAAATGTCCGCAGTGAAATCCATTAAAACTGCTATTTTTAATCCCAGGGCCATTTAACTATAAAATGATGCAGTCTTTAAGAGGCTTTCATTCCGTTGGCAAGGCTTCAAAATTAAAATTTTTACTATTTTTTTACCAGATGGTGCCATTTTTCCAGGTTTGGCCTATAAAGCAAATACTCGCTTTATTCCTGTTTTCTGCTTCGGCATATTATAGAGCCATTCGGATAAATTATGCAGCGATAATTGTGTGGGTGTGTTGGTATGGATGTCTGAGTGTGGCTTTTATGTGTGTAATAAAAAAATGTGTGTGTGTGTGCTTGTAACATTTGAGAGAGAAAAACTCAACTGCAAATCTAAAATCCAACCACTGTGTGACCAGTGGAGTTTTGCTGGCATCTAATGGGGAAAATCTGTTACTGCACCCAAACAATATCTTACCGAAAGCTCATTTTTTGAGATATCATCCTCAAATTTGGACAACTTGCTTAGATTTATGGCTTTGAATTTCTATAAGTTGTAGAGTTCAACATGTTTCATAAAATATACATGTTATATAATATAATGTTCATAAATCATTTTCATAAACTTTAAACCTATATACTTTTTTTTATTATTATTATTATTTTTTTTTTTTACTTTTTACAATTTTTTACTTCAGCAATAATCTGCCAAGGGTCTTCTTTAAAATGAGACCCAACTTAAATCTGTGCTCCGAAGCTTGAGTTTTTTGACACAATTTTTTTGTCCACTATTGGACAAAATGGACATTTTTTTAATTGATTCACAAGGGTTAAAAGTATTTGGAGCTTGTGACTAAACCTCGTAACTCCATTGGATCCTCAAACTGTCAGTCAAACCTCATAACTTCGCCCACCTCTATCGTGAATGAAGAGCCGCACACAGTTTGGAGCATCTCTGCTTGTTTGCAAGAGTAAATAAAGACCTGGTTCTTTGAATACGTAGTGTTTTTATTACTCATGAAACACTATATATAAAGGCTAATGTTTAATGTATTTGAGGAGCGGAGAAGACAATTTTAGCATTTGTCGTCGAATATCATATGCAAAGCAAAGCTCGTCTTTAGTAACATAAGATTTTGGCCAAATGACCGAAAAAGCTTAAGTGTCCACATAGCCACAGTAAACTTTATTATCTGTAAGTTGCTGGAAACATACTGAGATGCACTTACTGCATACTTATTCATTAGACTTTATTGTCCACCTTAGTGGAAATTTGTCTATGACTTCTCTGAACAGATATGCATCAGTGACACCACAGTTAAAATTACATTAAAATACACACAGTTAAGAGTATGACACTACCACCATAAACATACAACAACAGAAAATGGAAAGCAGCGCAGCCGACTGAAATAAGGTAGGTTTCGACCTACAATAAACACAAAAAATTAAGTTCCTGTATGGCATGGGGAATAATAGATGTTCCGGCTCGCCCTTGGGACCCTAAATCTAATGATGGACAAAACGCGTACGAATTTCGCTGGTCAAAAACCTCCATTTGAGCTTGATTTTGATTAAATGTTCATAACAATGACACATGCAAATGTCTGAAACCCATAATAAAGACACAATATTAACTTTGACAATGTGGTGTTTAAATAAAAAAAAAATTAAAGAGCGTTTTTTTCAGTTCTTAAAAAGTAGCATTTTTGGAGATACAAGGTTTCCACCCGAAAGCGACGATATGCAATAATATAAAAAGAGAGTACTAGCATATGCATGTGGAGTTTTGTAGCATGTTTGAGTCATTGATCTGTAATGTCATGTGTGTTCCAGGTTGCTGAAAGAGCATTGTATTACTGGAACAATGAGTACATCATGAGCCTGATCAGCGACAACGCTGCCAAGATCCTCCCCATCATGTTTCCCGCTCTCTACAAGAACTCCAAGAGCCACTGGAACAAGTACAGCCACACTTTGACAGATTGTGTACAGTCACAATCTGTTTGTTTTTTCCAATAAGACATATCTTTGAATGAATGAACACCTGAAGGAAAGAACGTTCTGTTCAAATGTCTGGAGTAATAATGCGGTGCTTTCTCCTGCAGGACAATCCACGGGCTTATCTACAACGCTCTTAAGCTCTTTATGGAGATGAACCAGAAGCTGTTTGATGACTGCACTCAGCAGTACAAGGCTGAGAAGCAGAAGTAAGTGAACGAGGCAAGAAAGAGAGAATATGAGGCGAAAAAAGGTGTAAAGATTGTAAAAGGCTTGTTTGAGAAGGTCTTGTCAGCAGTTGTCATTTACTGTCTCAAATCCTAGTGAACTACAAAGAGAGAGACAGCATTTTGGGCATCGAACATGCCCAGAGATGATGTCTAGGTAGGCAGTTCTCTAGATTTTGAGACTCAGTGGCTGTCTTTGTTCTCTAAGCAGAATTACTAAGCAAGCTGGTTGTGTTGAGCTAAGCTTGTGGCAACCATATGGATCCACATAATATACATACGAGTTATTTTCTCTGACATATCCTTAACTCTTTGTTGTTTTCCTGTTCTTCCCTAGAGAGAAGTACAAACTTAAGGAACGGGAAGAAATGTGGCATAAAATTGAAGAACTAGCGAAACAGAACCCTCAGGTAAACACCCTCCGCTGCACACACACTGAATTGTATAATGACTTCTCAAGTAACACTGAAGACTTGAGTAATGACTGCTGAAAATTCAGCTTTGCCAACACAGGAATACATTACTAAAATATTTAAATAGATAAGTTATTTTTACGGCATTTTTGATCTAACTATAATGCAGCCTTGGTGAGCATAAGAGAAAATACTGACTGACCCAAAACTTTTGAATGGTAGTGTACACAGATACAGTCAAATAGGACACAATCAAACTGTCAGTAGCTATGTTTTCATCCAAAGTTGTGAATTTAACTCAAAATTTGAACATCGCATAAAACATTTGCGAATAAAGCACCGTTTCCTTCCAGCGAGCCGAAGAGAACAACATCGTCACTTCCGGATAAACTGGCGCTAAGTCAATAAGACCATCTCTGGCTAAATATCATTAAGATAAATGGAAGTTATTAAATACAGAGGCTTCTCCTACTGCAGCAACTTTCAAATTTTTTAAAGCAACACTATGGAACTTTTCAACCTTCATAATATATTTCCAAGACCCTTGTGATGGTACATCGACTTACAATAGGTTAAATGACACGTCTGCCATAGCCTGACGTGGTCTGTATCGCTTTTACTCGCACTATGTAACTTTGGGTTTCGGGTAGTAACCCAAGCACAAAAAGAACTACAAAACTCGACTGCTTTACGGCATACGTCACTTCCCCCACCACTTCCTCGAATTGTCTGTGGCCTGGGAGTCTCCCGCATATTGATAGCGTCTCCCTGATGCCCGCAAATTAGTTAAAATCTGCCGGAATCTAGAGCGCGCGAGCGAGACAGAACATACTGCGCGCTAGGGCTGTTTTCGACTAAGGATTTTCATAGTCGAATCTGATTCGTTAGATTTTGCCGTAGTCGACTGATAGTCGAACCTTTTTTTTTTTTTTAGATAGCTGCTAGACGTTCGGTTGAATAACTGTTCGTCTGTTATAGGACAACTCGCTCTACGTTTATTTAAAATGAACAGGAAGACAACTAGAAGTGAATGTGCTTTCCATTAAATGAATCCTTAAAAAAAAAAAAAAAAAGTTGCAATGAACGTGCTTTGTTTTAAATAAATCACACACAGTAAACAAAACCTTAACGCGCAAACTGCGAGCCGGTGCGGTGAGACGTAGCCTACATGCTCGGGCAGATTCGGCTTGAAGTCGTTCATCCTCAGATGCGGTGTCGCGCGCTGTTACCAAAAAAGCTGTGCACACAACCAAGCGAAATGGGGTCTTGCGCACCCAACACGTCATTTTTTGCCGTCCGCACCTTCGCGCTCGTGCGGACGCGTCGAGTATAAGCAAGGCTTTACTCCGTGTCAGCGCGCGCTCTGATCGGTAAAGGGGCACAGACCTCTCCCGAATCATCCCCAGCACTCAGCCTCCGATCGCACCACTAACTCCGGCTCCGCTTCCCTCGTAAGATGATATTAGTATTTAAACATTCTCTATGATAAAAAATGTTTGTAAAAAATATTTGAATAGCACGGTTTTGGCGGTTATAGAGTTCTAATTACGGTGTTCAACTATAACCGTCGGTCTCACGGTTATATAATAACCGTCACACCCCTAGTTACATAACACCCTACTATTCGACTATGAGGTTCACAGTCGAATCAGACCTCTCCGAATCGAATCGTCGACTATTAGAAGTCAGCCCTACTGCACGCACAACATGCATAGCGCGAGCACGGCAGAGAGGGAGAGAGCGAGAGACCTTGCGAGTGTGCCTCACGAAAGCTAGTCAACCCGCCACCCCCCCGTCAACAATCCAGTCACCAAGATATACCTCCCTCAAATGACTTCTTGCAGGTTGGGATGTCTGCCATTGTTGATTCCAAAGCCGGTGCTGGATAAACAGCGAGCGTGCGCGTGCGCGTGCGACAGTAGGCAGTCCCTCCAGAAAAACGCGATTATGCGATCGCTGAATTCAATGCATAATCAGCCAAAGTCCGCATATTTATGCGGGGGTCGCATTTTTTCAAATACTCCGCAATTTCGCCGCATAAATTGCTGATTTCCGCGCAAAATATGCGGGGCTTGCATGATTTCATAATCCCCGCATTATAAAAAGTCACATATATCTTAGCAGAAATTTGGAAAATGTTGCGTTTGCTTCACACGAGAGCAGCTGTTTCCCCCTGTTGCCATGGGAACGTTATGAAGTGACGTAATTACGTGACGTGAACATCATCGAAAAGCTGTAAAACAGGAGCACACTTTATTTTTAAATATTTCATTTATTCATTTTTACTGAAGTTGTAGCATATTCCTCTAGTAAAGCTACAGAACTGGTTTGACTCATCAATGTTTTGTAAGTTTGATGTGTTTATTAAGGTCTTGTAACGCGTTGTGTCGGGAAGAAAAATAGGGATAGCTCACAGCTGAAGTTATTGGAGAGGCCAGACAGACTCACGGAGGCGATTGGCATCTCACAACTCGCACTTTATTCCCAAATCGAACTCGTATAACTGTCTGTCACACGTTCTACCGTCCACATCGTTACTTAATAAACAAAATAAGTTAAAAGAAGTAGCATCAAACAGAAATTACCCGCACACATGGGGTGTTTGAGGCGCACATACTGCAGACAGTTAGACAGGGAGCGCGCAACTCTTAAAGGGGCCACACCTTATTTCCACTCGTTACAGTCTGAAATAAAACAAGATGAGAAATTAAATATTTCCAGCACTTTCTGTGATGTAGTTGTGCTTGCTTATCATAGGAAGTAATAAGAAAGGACTCTTTACATTAAGGTAGTAGCCTAGTGAGAACAGGGTGTTGGGGAATCACTTTTTTTTCTCTTTTTCATCAAACCACAATTTTTGCAAGTTCCCGCAATTTCGTCGCAAAAAATTGCATAAATATCCCGCATATTCCATCGCATTTTTAAAGAAAACGGGCCACGTAATCAAGGATTTTTGCCCGCAACAATCACAAAAAAACTCAGCGTTTTTCTGGAAGGACTGAGTAGGCTGCGGTGGGCTAAATTATTTACGACAGCGGTAATGGACAATTCCGCTTCCAACCTGTAGGGCGACCGAAGAGGAAAAGTTCCTTGGTGGTGTTGCTTTAAATGATATTTAGCCAGAGATGGTCTTATTGACTTAGCGCCAGTTTATCCGGAAGTGACGATTTTGTTCTCTTCGGGTCGCTGGAAGGAAACGGTGCAGACGAAACACAATAAACGCAGTCATGTTATCATGCTTTCTGAGGCGTATGCTGCTGTTTGGGAGCGCAGTCGTGTAAGACAGGTCTGGGAGGGAATTATACTGAACCACTTAGACGACATGAGACTTTGCCATTTCAGAATGATCACAACAGCATTTCAGATGCTGTGCAACAAGATCGCTCCTCAGTTATGCTGTCCCATCGCGCAAATTCTGACTTTTTTGATGCACATTATGGAATATATTCGGCAAATGTGTTTCCATCATAGTTTATGCATTGGTTATGTCATGTTATCGGATAAAAAAAATGTATCCGGACTCAATTGAGTGCATACGTTTTTGAATGCACATTTTTAGAGTTTATGCGCTTCCAACAGGTTTTTTTTTTATGCGATATCTCAAAATGCGCGCAAAAATAGGTGGATGGAAGCATAGCTAGTGAAGTCATATGTTATAGGAGAAAATTGAGAAATTAATTTATGATCAGATGCACAAGCTTTGTGTGCAGCTAATTTTGTACGTATCCTAATTAAAATGAATCAACTCCAAACTACTCCTGACGAGTATAATTACCACCACTCGTCTCTCTCTGTGCTCTGAGGGCAAACACAAAAAGAACCCACGATTTAATCAGGATGTGATGAGGAATCCTGTGAATGTGTGTTTATCAACCTCAAGTTTTTGATTTTCACAGAGTACAAAGGTTCAGCTGCGGCCCGGTCTGGCTCAGGAGGAGGTGAGTCACGTATTTCTGTAACGGTATCGTTATTATGCATTCATCTTACTCTTTGGGTTACTTTCATCTTTCCTTTCAAGTTCTGTTTAGATGTAGGGTGGGTGGTATGAACAAAAAAAATCCAGTATCACAGTCTTTGCTGGAAACTCAACACAAATGGTTCATATTTTAATAACCATGCAGTTATGTCTATTTTTGCATAATCCAGTAAATTGAACAAGATGCTTACTGCAGAACCAAATGATGTCAAGTGACCGCTTCCCCTCTCTGCGCTTAATGGGTGGAGCTCAACCTAATTAGGTTTAGGAATAGGGTGAAGCTCCACCCATTCACTCTGCAGTGAGCAGCCTCTCAAACTTTAACCTGTTAACTGTCACCCCCCTTTTTTTGAATATACATGAAAATGCACATTTCGAACTTAAATGGTTGTAATTCAAGAATGCTTTGGAATATAGACGTAAGATTGGTCTCGTTTTAAAGAAGACATTTGGCAGATTTTTGTAGAAGTGAAATAAATTAAGAAAGTGAAACAGAAAAAAAGTTATAGAAGTTTGAGTTTATGAAAATGTACAAAGTAAAAAATTGTATTATTCATATTTTATATATAATATATACACTCACCGGCCACTTTATTAGGTACACCTGTCCAACTGCTCGTTAACACTTAATTTCTAAGCAGCCAATCACATGGCGGCAACTCAGTGCATTTAGGCATGTAGACATGGTCAAGACAATCTCCTGCAGTTCAAACCGAGCATCAGTATGGGGAAGAAAGGTGATTTGAGTGACTTTGAACGTGGCATGATTGTTGGTGCCAGAAGGGCTGGTCTGAGTATTTCAGAAACTGCTAATCTACTGGGATTTTCACGCACAACCATCTCTAGGGTTTACAGAGAATGGTCCGAAAAAGAAAAAACATCCAGTGAGCGGCAGTTCTGTGGGCGGAAATGCCTTGTTGATGCCAGAGGTCAGAGGAGAATGGCCAGACTGGTTCGAGCTGATAGAAGGGCAACAGTGACTGAAATAACCACTCGTTACAACCGAGGTATGCAGCAAAGCATTAGTGAAGCCACAACACGCACAACCTTGAGGCGGATGGGCTACAACAGCAGAAGACCCCACCGGGTACCACTCATCTCCACTACAAATAGGAAAAAGAGGCTACAATTTGCAAGAGCTCACCAAAATTGAACAGTTGAAGACTGGAAAAATGTTGCCTGGTCTGATGAGTCTCGATTTCTGTTGAGACATTCAGATGTTAGAGTCAGAATTTGGCGTAAACAGAATGAGAACATGGAACCATCATGCCTTGTTACCACTGTGCAGGCTGGTGGTGGTGGTGTAATGGTGTGGGGGATGTTTTCCTGGCACACTTTAGGCCCCTTAGTGCCAATTGGGCATCGTTTAAATGCCACGGCCTACCTGAGCATTGTTTCTGACCATGTCCATCCCTTTATGGCCACCATGTACCCATCCTCTGATGGCTACTTCCACCATGTCACAAAGCTCTAATCATTTCAAATTGGTTTCTTGAACATGACAATGAGTTCACTGTACTAAAATGGCCTCCACAGTCACCAGATCCCAAAAGAGCATCTTTGGGATGTGGTGGAACGGGAGATTCGCATCATGGATGTGCAGCCGACAAATCTGCGGCAACTGTGTGATGCCATCATGTCAATATGGACCAAACTCCCTGAGGAATGCTTCCAGCACCTTGTTGAATCTATGCCACGAAGAATTGAGGCAGTTCTGAAGGCAAAAGGGGGTCCAACCCGTTACTAGCATGGGGTACCTAATAAAGTGGCCGGTGAGTGTATATTTTTAAAACCTGGGCGACTCTAAAACTGCAAAAAGTCAAAGCCAAAAATCTGAACAAGTTGTGTTTCAAATTTTAGGTTGATATCTCAAAAAATGAGCTTTCAGTGAGAGTGTGTGTGGACGCAGTACCGAACACTTCCACTAGGGCACAGCCAGACTCCATTACTGCCCATATAAGGGTGCCTCCATTTCTGTATGTGTTTTGAGTGATATGAACCCTTATTTCCAAAATTTTCATACAATTTATGAAGTAGACATCCTATTCAGAAGTAGTATGGGAAGTTTGGCAGATTTTGATATGAATTCAACCTCTAAGAAACACACAAAAAGAACAAATATGTGCATTATAGCTCGCTGCCACCTCACAAATGGTGAATCTATAATTTTTTTCTTTATATTTAAAAACATTTCAGACCTTTTTTCTAAAATAATTGAATGGATGCTGTCTTTAGAACTCTTGGCATGACAGGGTTCCCGCGGATCCTTAAAAAGTCTTAAAAAGTCTTAAATTAGATTTTTAAAATTTAAGACCATAAAAAGTCTTATAAAGTCTTATTTTTACTTATGAAAGGTCTTAAATTTTAGATGACACTTTGACTTAGACATATCTAAAAGCTTTTCCAAATTAAAACTATCTAATTAGCGTACGTATTTTTATTTATTTATTATTCTATCTTTGTGGATTTGCTCGTTCACGTGACATTTCGCGTCACTCGCGAGTCGCGGCAGCATAACTGTCTCCTGCACGCGAGAGGAGAGAAGGAGAAGAAAGGTCGTTACTGTCAGTTCAGTCGTAAGTTCATTCTTTATGTGCGTATGGTGTGCGATGTGTATTGTCTATTATGATATTGTAATCATTGTTTTAACGATGTACGAGGCACTGCGAGCTGACATCGCATTTGTCTCGTGCTTTCACTGCGTGATGTGTGCAGTGTAACTGTTATGTCCCCAAATTAATTTTTGTCTTATATTTATATCATATTATGTTCTTATATTAGAATATCACATCAGAAAGAGTGCCGTTTTCCCGTGCACGATTCCAAGTGTGATATTTATGTTATACAACTGTTAAATTAACAATAAGTTAACATTGAAACTACTTTTTAGACACAATATTGTTAATATGGTTTGTTTTCCCTTTATTTCGCCGACTATAATTTCAAAATGAAACCGTAGCAGAGTCTCAATGCAACCGACAGCGATGATTTCTTGACTGAAATCCGCGTTTTGAACGAATCACTTGCTTTTTACCGAATGAATCAGCCGTTTGAACGAATCGGTTGAATGAATGACTCCCTCAACTCACTTATTAAGACAGTGATTTGCCGCTGCGGTTTCATATTTAAAGTACCCTTTAAATAAAATGTTAAAATTAGAAATCATTTCATATTTAAATATTGAATATTGATTTAAAAATATATATCTCATAGCTTAATTTTTGCAGTTGTAAATGGAGTGTAAATATATTAATGCCACTTCTGATGCTGCTTCTGTCACCTCTGCACTGCAAAGATGGATTTTGATTGAATGATTTAATTTGACTGGTAACAGTGGTACTGTATGATTATTATATAATTAAGTATTATTGTATAATTACTGTATAATTTAATTTGAATGATAGTATTTGACATTAAAGGTGATGCATAACTCTAAATAAGTTTAGAAAAAATGTCCATATATAGGTGAAAATGCCCCTGAAAAAAACAATTTAAGGTGGCAAATGTTGCCTCTTAATCAAAATATTAATTTCTGTCACTGCTGTGAACCGACCACTGCATAGAATATGAAAAATATGAATATCTTCGTGAGTCAGCAAGGCACCAGCACAAAAACACAATCAGTAAAATATTACGTTTTAAAAATGTAATAGATTTGGGCCCACCCACCCGTGACAACACCCATTAATAATACATTTCTTGTTCTCCCATGTAAATAACGTAAAGCAGTCCTGCCCAGCCGAGCACATGTATGTGTAGGTCTGAACTAGCTTCATTAATGTGTAAATGGCATGTGTGTGTGCAGTATATGATGTATAATGAAGGAGGGATGCCATTGTACTCGATGGAGACCGAGACCCCCACAGCCGAGGACATCCAGCTGCTGAAGAAGACTGTGGAATCAGAAGCCTCACAGGTACAACCAAACACTTGCAGATCTTCACAGCAACAAAAAAGCCTGTGCAGTGGATTGGTGGGTATCGACATGCGAGTTTGTTCTAGAGCATGAGTGCCAAACTCATTTCTAGCTAGAGCGCAATACACGCTCTTTTGGGGCTAATATGGTACTTAATTTTGACAATGCGATGCTGCTTTAATAAATAATATTGGGGAAAAACAAAAACATGCTTTTGGCTGGATACATTTTCAGCTTTAACATAAGCCAACTGAAACTGAACATTAACACAAATGAAAGAAACTACAGCTTATTTAGATTACAGGTTTGCTTTTCGGTACAACAGCATCAAATAAGTGTAAATGTATTATATTTAAAGGGTTAGTTCACCCAAAAATGAAAAAATTGTCATCATTTACTCACTCTCATGTCGTTCCAAACCCGTAAGACTTTGCTCTTCTTCAGAACACAATTGAAGGTCTATTTGATGAAATCTGAGAGCTTTCTGTCCCTCCGGTGACAGTTACGCAACTACCACTTTGATGCTTCAAAAAGAGATTGTAAAACTAATCCATATGAATTGAGCGGTTTAGTCAATTTTTTGAAGAGACACGATCGCTTTATATGATGAACAGATAGGCTTTTATTCACATATAAAGATTCATCAGCGAACATAAACAAATCACGAGAATAAACCTCATCGGTTCTTGCTGAAGCTCAAACGTGCTGTGTAAAACGAGAATGAACCTCATTGGTTCTCACACGTCAAGCAAACATGCTTGAGCTTCCATTTATCACAACTGATGTGTGAATTGATAAATGTTTATGTGAATAAAAGCCTAAATTCAATCTGTTAATCATAAAAAAGCGATCGAGTCTCTCCAGAAGATTTGGACTAAACCGCTCGATTCATATGGATTAGTTTTACGATCTCTTTATGAACTTTTTAAAGTGTCAAAGCGGTAGTTGCGTAGCTGTCAATGGAGGGACCGAGATCTCTCAGATTTCATCAAAAATATCTTCATTTGTGTTCCCAAGATGAAGGAAAGTCTTTGGAATGAACTGGTGTATACTTTGGGCATTAGTCTGGCACTGTCTCAGGAATATAACTCTTTTCTTTTTTCAGGGGATGAAAGAAATCAAGAAAGACAAGGTTTTGATGAGGCGAAAGTCTGAGCTGCCGCAGGACGTCTACACTATTAAAGCCCTGGAATCTCACAAGCGAGCGGAGGAGTACCTGACGGCCAACCAAGAAGCCCTCTGACGCGGGCGCGCCGGCACCCTCCACCGCGCCTAAACTGTTCCTCTCGTCTTGGTCCAAAATTGTCGCCTGCTGTAACCCACCTCTCTATTCCTCTGCCTATATCCCTCACTGTTGGAAAGCCCCGTCTGCAAAAGTCCAGTCCACAGAGCAGTGGAGAGCTCCCATGCACTCTTCCTCATCTCCCCAACTCTTTCCCCCATCCATAGATGCTGATCCGCGCACCGAACAAGCGACCGCTGGGTTGGTAGAAAGCAGTGTGGGTTACAGATAATCAAAGTATGCTCTTGTTGTGGTTGCTTTGTTTTTCTCTCCACACTTTATGTTGCCCACTTTATGCCGTCTCCATTTGTCCGCATGTTCCCTATCCCGTTTTTACCGCTGCTTGAGAGCTTCTTCTGTTTTCCCATCACTGCCTCTGCGGATCTGTCGTGTCTGCAATGAAGGGGCCACACTTAACTAAACGAATCATGTTACTGGAGATATGGAGATGGAAACCCTGTGCTGGATTTTAGATGGCATGGATGGGAGCCAAACGGGAGTGAATCAGGGTTATTCTTGATGTCATACAAAGAACTAACTAGTGAAACTTGTTTCTTACAAAACAAGCTTTGAGATTTCAACTCGCATGGGATTGTGAATCTGATTCAGATGCTTTCCTAGACAGGTCTTTGTTTCTCCAGGGACCTGGTGCTGTAAATGTTTCAGGTCGTCGTCATCTGAAGTCATTTTTGACCACACATTAGGAGGAGATTGACCTAGTGATTGTGTTAATGATCATGATCAACAACAACAACAAAAAAGTAAGGGAGCTTTGTGGAAGCAATCACCTCTATATCCACCACCAGCAGAGCGCTTGATAAAAATGCTGTAAAAGTAGTATACAGTCCGTTTACAGTCGCATATAAGAATGTGATCTAAACGCATGCACCAATGGCCTCTTGGTCCACACTCCACTTATCTTTGTATGCATCTATTTTAGTTTCATTTTTAGACTTGTACCTCTTGAACAGATTCCCATGAAATCGCAATGTGCTTTTTTTCACCTCCTAGCTTTTGTAAGTTGTCTTGTTTTGCTTCATAGGTTTCTGGGATTTATAAAAACTAGACGAGAACGAAAAACAAACTCCCGTTAAACCTTTAAAAACGACAACCGTTCAAAATCGGGAACTACCGTCCTGTCCAGGATTGTCTTATTTCGTTGTTGTTTTCACTTTAAAGCGCCAAAGCAATATTTTTTCCATATTAGAACGGTAAAGAAAAACATTTACTGATCTAGTGTACGATCAAGCGCTATACAATCCTCCTTATAGGACTATATACTTAAAGAGAAAAGATACTCGCTTACCTGTCCAGGCTTAATATATGGAAAAGCGACAGCTTGCAATTGCGACTACTTGTGTACTGTATATTGTCATGTATATTGCTTACGATTGTACCCTTGCCCTTCAGTATTCCCTCTTTCTGCCCCAACTTCATCTTTTCTTTAGTTCTGTTTGCTTGTATGACTTCATTCTGATGCATGATGTCCCCTCTCTGTTGTAAAGGTCTGTCCCGTGAAGTGTCACTTTGATCATTCCAATAGTGAGGGAACATTTACTCCTCCTACGGGCTGCTGGACAACGCTACACTTTGTCGCTATCCAGTGTGCAGCTCACGCTGTAATTCGCTCCTTGTGAGTTCAAGCTGCTACACTTTTTCCATCGTTCCAAACGTGTGCATATGTTTCGACTCGTGCTATTACAGCCTATAGTATGCAGTGCAGAGGTGAAGTCTTTAAATCATTAGCTGTTTGCAGTGTCGTTACATCACCTCAGCCGATCAGTGTACGTACGGGAATGACTTGTCCATGCAATCAAGAGCATGAATTGCCAACCTAGCTGCCTCTAAATAGACCAAAACATTCCAGAAACAATCAGAGGCAACTTCACTCTTGAACGCAGCTTGATTCCTGCCTCGGTGCAGTTTGACAGGCCCGTGTTCAGCTTGTCCGGCAGCAACAACAAACCGAGGGAAATTAAGAAAGTATGGGTCTCTCCACACTCGCCCTTTCCCTCCTCTCCCAGCCCTCCTTCCCAAGTCTGACACTAATCGACTTAAGCTGCTTTCCAGGTCATATGTACATATGTTGTACTTTAATTAGGTTGAGCATTACATAGTATGAAAGTCATATTTTGTACAGATGTTCATGTATGTACAGAACAACAATAAAGAAACACAAAAGACGTGACGGCCATTTGTGTTGCTCAAGCCATGTGAAATACATAAAGGATTAGTCACTCATTGCACATTGTCAATCAGATTAATGATTTTTTTTGTGACTTAAACGGCACATAACTGAGATGCACCATTACATGTTTATACTGTCATACAAAAGCAACCACTGAATCTTGCCAAACTTCACTTTACAAAAACGTAATCAAGCTAAAGAACATACTGCATAATTAACACAACTGCCTTGGAGCAAGGCTGAAATATGTCTGGGTGTTTTCAGGACAATTTTTTCCAAACTGTAACTGAATAATCGGGACACTTGCTGTGCCAAAGTTCAAAGCAATTAAAAGGTAAACTATTGAATTTCCACTTTAAGAATTCCACAGTTGGTATAAACCACAGCTAGGGTGATAAATGTGCCTTTTGGTTTGTTTGAGATGAGCAAATGTCAGAAGGTCCTTTAACGCTTATGCAGTACGAGAAGTGTCGAGGCTTCACTTGCGCTCCAGTCTCAGGCCTGCAGAGCTTTGTCTGGTCTGAAGCGTTTGCTGGACCATGTCCTTCCACTGGTCGTCCGAGATCTCCTGGGCCCAGGCAGGGATTCCCAGTGTCGGCAGATTGATGGCCGCCATGGTCCTTTTCACCAGCTCAACGTGATCTGTGAACACAAACAAGAACATTTCAAATATATCGGTACCACGTTGGTTAATTGGTTGATATTAGCACTTATTAAATGCATGCATCTATATATTAGTGTAATATAATGGATATTTTAAAGTACTCATTTATTTAGATTACCTTTGCCGTCATCTAATGATCACTTTATGTCTTCTAAAACACTAACAATTAAATTAATCATTTGACAGCCCTAATTTAATCACGATTAATCATATCCAAAATAAAAGTTTTTTACATAATATATGTGGGTGCACTGTGTATAATTATTTTGTATATATATATATAAACACACACATGCATGTATATTTAAGAAAAAAATATTATTTATATATAAAATATTTATATTTATATATAATATAAATTATATATAAATCTATATACAGTATATACATGAAAATATTTCTTAAATATATACAAGCATGTGTGTGTATTTATATATATAAAATAATTATGCACAGTGCACCCACATATATTATGTAAAAAAAAAACTTTTATTTTGGATGTGATTAATCACGATTCATCATTTGACAGCCCTAATATTAAATAATATAATTTAAGGGGAAACATTTTTAAATATTTTTTCATGCTGTACAACATTATAATGGTGTGATGGCTAAATTCACTTGAAGTATTACATTTTAGTGTTTTATTTGACATTTATTTAAGAAAAATAGTGTTGAATTTAAATACTGGATATTTATAGGGCATAACATGAAAGCAAACTGTATTTTAGACTAATAACATGCATACTTTAGCCAAGGTTTAATCATCATTCCACCTGTTAATTCCAAAATTGCACTTGTGTATATTACTAATATTTTAGTAATAAGTTAAATCAACCGTTTTGTGTACTGCTAGTATTAATTTGTATAACGCCAATTTAAAAATGTTATTTGAATAGTGATTTTCACAATACACATTGTTTCAAAGCAGCTTTACAGAAAATCATGATGTTAATGTTTATACGATTCATGTCTTATAATCTCATTAGGCAGATTAGAGCTGTGCAATAATGTAGTTTACATTTTGTGATTATAAAAGCAATCATGCAGTTGAGATTTACCATATGAAATATCCTGCTTTTTGCGAGTGTACTGTATGTATACGGATAGAGTTGGTTATATATTCAACTTTATAAACATAACCATTATGGATGACTTCATTCCTTAACTTTATTTTTTAAGGCCAGCTGCATTGATTAAGGTGATGAGATTTTAGTCCAACGCACTGACAGAGGAGTAATGAAACAATAAGTGACATGATGACAGTATATCAGTGTTGTGACCCAAATGTAAAGTCAGTTCTCACGCGTACCTGCATCCATGGGAATGGACACTTGGCTTCTACAGGCAGCCGCTCCTTCAGGATCCTCCTCTTCATCGCTGTCAGGAGGAGGCTGGGGAAGGAACAGACCCATGGCCTGCAAAATGTGGACGGAGACAGTTCAAATCAAATGTATTGAAACCAAGAAATAAGTGTGTAAAACCAACCACACTTGCTGCCCAGAAAGATGAGGCACCCTAAAGACCTCTCCTGTACCTCTATTCTGTCCTGGACCTCCTGGAGCTGCTCTGCAGCGGTCGCCTCGTCGGCAGGCTCTGTGTGTGAGCTGTTCATCCCGTCTGGGTCTTGATTCAGAGGCTGGTAATAGTACCCAGCACTGTCCTCGTCTCCAGCATTGTCCTCGTCCTCCTCCATGTCCTCCCCGCTCCACTCCTCCGGCACTGCGGTGTCTAAAGGCCGGTCCTGCACCACATCCTCCTCGGAGTTCGGTAAGATTCTCTCGGGACCCATCTCTCGGGCCCTCGCCACTTCCATTCACTGGCTGCTAACACACACAGACGCGTGTGAGAGAAAATAATGTGTTGTATGGAGTTAAACATTCACCTGTTAATGTAAGCTTAAGGCTATACAATCCTGCTAGGTCATATACACTTACAATTCCAGGGAATTAACTAATGAATGCGACTGTTCACCATGCAGAAAATGATCTCTGGTCATTTTCTGTTACCTGTTTTCTTCTGTCGAGCTCTTTTATCCAAATGTTTTGAGCAGATGTATGTGAATCTGGAGAGCTGTTGTTTGCTTCCGGTCCTGCGCAGAAGCAGAACTGCGCATTGATTGCGTCATGATACACCGACGAGCTAGCTAAGCGATTACATGTGTACATAAAAATAAATAAATAAAGGTGTACATAAAAATACCAGATTTAATGTTGTTGTTGTTGTTCATTTTGAGGCTTCATAATTTATTTACATTATTAATCCGTGTTTATTCTTCTTTGTTCGTAACTGTATCTATTCATATTCAAAAATGAATATGTAAATGTTTAAAGTAATATAAATATATTAAATCTTTTGAGTAAAAAAGATTGAGTAAAACCCTGTCAGACTCAGTTGTGTGAAGAATTACTGTCTTCTGTTGCTTTTAATTATTATTATTTTTTTTAAAATATTATTTTTCTTTTTTATATTATTGCCATCCAGTGCTGTTTAACATACTTGCAAGTATCAATAAAATATCACAAGTAAATCAATAAAAAAAACTATTAAATGCAGCTAATTTTAAAAAATGCAACTAATTAAACTTATTTTGACTTATTAGTCGTTTATTTAAAAATTTAAAAATATATCTTAGGCCTATAGTACAGCAGATTTGGAAAATTACAAACTGGCGAGTTATAAATCGTAAAGATTAATAATTTATTTGTGTATTATTTATTTTCATTTATAAATTATTATAATCAATTATTATTATAATTATTATAATATGTATCTTGGTGTACATGTTTATTATTGTTTAATAAACAAACAAGTAAATATATACATCTATGAGGAGGACGAATAATTGCAAAATAAATTAAAACATTGTGGTAATGGTAAATAAATAAAGAAGCCCAGCGTGTGTGTGTGAGTATGACCACCGGGTGGCGCGCGCCTCTCCGTGACGTGTGAGTTTGAGCGGGAAACGAATGACCTGCAGTTTGTTAGTCTCGACTTCCCGTCAAAGCTGTAATCGCGAAAATTACACTTGTGTTATTGTCGAGGGATAAAGACGTTTGCAAAGTATGAACATATACTTTTGTGGAAGTATCCGAGGAGGGAGACAGGACGTGAATATTTACCAGAGAATAGTGAAGAAGTTACAGCAGTATGGCAAGGTTTTAACAGAGCATGTCAGCTATGACAGTCTGTCTGAAAAGGGTGATTCACTTATACTCTCTTTCTATCATATTTAACGGTTTCATAGCGTTTGGTTGATCCTATGTGTGGAAACTAGTCATAGATGTAGTAAACATGTGTCCGTGATGCAGGTGAAGATGCCGTTTTGGATGGAGATAAAGCGATTCATGATCGAGATATGGAGTGGCTGATGATGTCTGATGGTGAGATCAGATCATAATGACGTGCTCATCATTTTCACATTCCTCATTGTTTTTAAAAAGTGTTGTTCATACATACACAAATAATAACAATGTAGTCAACAGTGGCCCGAAAAAATCTAACGTTATCCAAGTGCCATTTATTTTCACAACACGAAAATTCAAATGATAAAATGAAAGTAATGTGATTCTCTAACTTACATATGTTGTTACTCTGCTGGGTGATCTTAGAAAATCAAACTTTAGCATCCACTAAAAATCACTAAAACACCAAATGAAAGTTTGGATATTTTGTTATCTGGTGCAGCAATATATATTTTTTTAATTGTGATTGATGACATATGAAATAATATTCAGATGTATTTATTTTTGTTGGTGGGGGCAGTTTATTGAATGTTTAGACAAAATATTTACATTTTACAAAAGCTTGCATATGTGGCTCATATAGTATAATAAAGGAGAATATGGAGGTCGTACTCGAGGAAATAACACCTTAGTTTTATTCAGAGGCAAAAATATGCAATTTGGTGCAGTTGCACACATTTATATGGCCAAATCTTATCAGTCCAGCAGAAACGTACACAAGAGGCTTATAAATATCAGTGATCACTCTATATCTCCCTTTAGTATGTCTTAGTAAGATTATATTTAAATGCTTAGCTTTATGATTAAAGCTCTGTAGTTTTAAAACATATAATACAATGCGCAAGTTCAAAACAATGATGATTGACAGATGAACAAATAAACCTTCCTCAAAAGCCTGATGGATCATATTCGATACTCACATTTTAACATGACTTTTCTAAAAAGAAATGGATGGATGATCAAGTAAAACCTATAATTATTCTCAGCAGCAGCAGCTTAGCAGATCTATTACGCAAAGACAAAATACATTAACATTGTCATATCCGCTAAACTCTTCTGAGAGTTGTCATGATAGAACTGCGATGCTGTATCGGACCCGTCTCAGTTATTCAGGACTCATTACAGTGCCGTCTTCTCTCTCTGAACCAGTGATAGTAGCTGAGGTGACACAGCCGTCGTTAGGAGTGGGTTATGAACTTGGCCGAGCTGTGGAAATGAACAAGAGGGTTCTCTGTCTCTTCAGGCCTTCATCTGGAAAAGGTATTAACACATTCTCCCAGCTTTCCTCAAGAAATAGATTACACGGTTATTACATATATATGCGCTGCCCGGCCATAATAAAAAAGTTGCTGTTTGGATTTAAATAGGCCAATGCTGATATGAAGAGTCATTCACATGGGATTAGTATTATCTGGGGACCTTCGTGTGGCGCATTCGCACGGGATAAGCGAAGCCTGTGGTTTTACTCCAATTTACTGACTTATCTCCCGGATATGATGTCAATAGGCTATTGCTTGGAAATGTCTTGTCGTTATTATAGGTCTAACTGTATGATATATCATAAACAGAATAATGTTCTTTACCGCATGCTGCTAAACATGTCATTCATCTCCATCTAATCATTCCTTTTGTTTTCGCTCTTCTGATGATTTTCAGCTTTCTCTTTCTGCAAATTGTATAGTTGTATGGTGTATAGCGATATGACCCAGCACCCAAAATACTATTAAAACACTAAAAGGCGCACAGGAAACAAAAACCTTGAAAAATGTACATACAACCCCACAAAAATAACAGACATGGGCGATTCGCACGGGATTAAAGGCACACTGTGGAACTTTTCAACCTTTATAATATATTACCAAAACCCATTGAGATGGTACATCGACTTACAATAGGTTGAATGACACGTCTGCCAAAGCCTGAAGGTGTCTGTATCGCTTTTCCTAGCACTATGTAACTTCGGGGTTCGGGTAGGAACCCGAGCACAAAAAGAACTACAAAATTCGACCGCTTTACGGCATACGTCACTTCCCCCACCACCCACAACTTCCTCAGATTCTGACGTGAGTGCTCAACTCGCGTTTGATTGCCGTCTGTATGTTTTCGTCATGGCCGAACCAACAGCTACAAGGAAGAAGGCAAAGGTTTTGTCAGAGGACACTAAAAAAAAGTAAAAGGCATAGTGACAAATGAAAAGCCAGGACGAGGATCACCATTGGTCCAGCGTTCGCTCGCTGGCGTGAGCTACAGGAGGAGGAGGAGGGGTGCCCGACCGATGCTAACGCTTGCCTGCACACAAATGCTGTTTCCAAGGTGACACAGATAAATCATATAAGCAGTGTAGTATTTTCTGGTATTCCGGCCACAGCCGATGGTGTTATGAGTGTAATAAAATGCCCACAGCCCATTGTTCATTTCTACACACAAACACAGCCCGCCACAGTGCAGGGCTCGAACAAATAAAATCGACTCATGTCAAATGTACATTAAATGTAGTGAACGTTCCCACGACTCAGTGCCCACAAACACTACACACAACATGTCCCACGGTTTCTGTAAAACGAAACCAACACACATAAGTTACAGTCAGCTCAGGCCGACGGTGTTTTTAGTGCAGTAAATGTGCCCGGCCCGCCGTCCCGCGCCCACATTCACTCACAGACATGTTAGCACTAAGCCGCTCGCTCTCTCTCAGCAGACTGCTATAAGGGAATCGAGCGCGGCCAGGCTGCCCGCCTCAAACACTGCAAGCACACACAATCTAAAGACACGGGAAGCTGACTCACTGTCTATGGGCGGACCGGTTGACTGTTTGTTGACTTTTGCGACACTGCTGCGGAGCTTGTGGCCTCTAGGGACGCTAGACGTGAAAGTTACAGGTCGAGCGCCACTAGTGGCCAAAAGTTCCGCAGTGTGCCTTTAAGATCACAGATAACCTCGGAAATTATTACAAATGACTAGAGGTCACCAGGTAATACCAATCCAGTGCGAATCATTATTGCAGTGATTATTATGTTTCTAGCATGTTATATGTTTGGCAACAGTTCTTCTAACCCTAACTGATGGAGTGTGTAGCTTTTCATTTCTTAAACAACCATGTATGAAGACTAGGGGTGTAACAATACACAAACCTGACGGTTCGGTTCGTCCCACGGTTTTGAGGTCTCGGTTCGGTTCGGTTCATTTCGGTGGGGTGGGGGTTTACAAAGCTAAAATTGCTTTTATTTTTTATTAAACAGTGCTTTAATGAACAAATTGTGTCCTTGTCTTTAAATTAATTAAATTACAAGTAAACGTTTCTCAAGGATAACAAAATTATCTGCTAATGCTGTAAACTACAGCCCTTACTTGCACATTACTATAACATTAAAGCTTAACAACAGAGCCTAGACTTTTAGCCTAAATGATGTAATAATAATCAACACTCAAATAACAAATTGTATGAAAACATGTAAACTGCACATAAGCCAATTTTTGCATTAACATGTTTTTACTCTAATTTGTTATTGTTATATAATAATTTACACAGTTGCTGTTATTTTCATGACAACTATTTTAAACATACATTAAATAATTAAGATATAATAAACAGGTTAAGTAAAATATAATATATAGGCTAATATATATAGCATTTATTTAGTGAAAGAGTTAGCAAACCAGCAAGCTGTGGACACTGAATGACTTGCCTGAGGTAAATATAAAGCTATGTGAAAAACTAAGCGTTTTATTGACGTATTTCCGCTGTTGAAACACTGATTGAGTGTTTACACGAGTTATGATGCCTTTCAGTAAGTATACTGTATCTTTCAACATACCTTTGGGTGTCCATTCATGTTTATTCTGTAACTGAGGAAGAGATGATCGCGCTGCCGCATGCATACAGTGATATCTGTCACGCCACATCTAAGAGCGCCAAAACGGCATTTATTGTTTGCATTTCGTGATCAAATAGACATAATTTGAAAGATTACACCTTGCTTATTATCAAAAGTAACAAAACACTGAGCTTATTGCGATTATACGTGGTTAATGGTGGTTAGGCAACAGCCCTATTCGTTGTGTACACATAACACATGAGGTGCCATGAGCCGGGGCTGGGCGGGGCAGCAGGGGGCGGGGCGTGTTCGGTTCGCCATGAGAGTATCGCGATACGTATTGTGGGTGGTGTATCGCGGTTTTTCGGTTCGGTTCAAATATCGTTACACCCCTAATGAAGACACATCATGGCCATATTCCAGGATGACAATGTCAAGATTCATCAGGCTCAAATTGTGAAAGAATGGCTGTGAGAAGCATGAAGAATCATTTTCACACATGAATTGTCTCTTCTGAGTCCAGACACTGAAAGTTTTTGAGATGTGCTGGAGGAGGCTTTACAGAGTGCTGGACTCTTGCATTGTTAATACAAGATCCTGAGCTAACATTGATGCACCTCTTGATGGAAATAACATCACAACCTTTATTTCCATCAAGAGGTGCATACATTTTTGTTTGCCTATTTAAAGGGTTAGTTCACCCAAAAATGAAAATTATGTCATTAATGACTCGCCCTCATGTCGTCCCAAGCCCGTAAGACCTCCGTTCATCTTCAGAACACAGTTTAAGATATTTTAGATTTAGTCCGAGAGCTTTCTGTCCCTCCATTGTAAATGTATGTACGGTATACTGTCCTTGTCCAGAAAGGAGATAAAGACGTCATCAAAGTAGTCCATGTGACATCAGTGGGTTAGTTAGAGTGTAGTCTCAGCCTCAGACGTCACGCCCACGGAACGTTGGCTAAACGTCTGATGCATATGGTACACTTAACTGGAAACACTTCAGGAATGTCGAAGTCGTCATCTGATTGGTTGAATTTTATCGGATTTCCGGGGGGCGCGAGTGTCGTGTTTATTTTCGGTCCGCCAGGAAACAAAGCGCAGACGTGTGATTGCGGAAGAAAAACTGTTGTGTTTACATGAGTGACAATGAGCATTTATCAAGATCAGCTAAACGTAGGATTCTCAAAAGTATGCGAGGTTCACGGCATAGACTTTTGAAGTTTTCTTCTCCTTCTTTGATTTTCTATATGCTGACTGACTTGTTGCACGCAGGTCTGTTGTTGTGGGGACATTTCCACGCCCCGAAACGTGACGCTGAACGAAACGAACTGTAATTGGTTGTTTGACATGTCGGTCAAACGGCCTTATGGGCGGGCCTTGGCCAAAGAAAGCTGCTATGAATTCCAGACCTTCAGCTGTCAGTCTGAAGGTCTGGCTACGCGAGACTAGTTAGAGTGTGTTGAAGCATCGAAAATACATTTTGGTCCAAAAATAACAAAAACTAGGACTTTATTCAGCATTGTATTGCGTTCCGGTTCTGTTGTGGATCCGCGTTCAGTGCCGCTGCTGACGTAAGACGCTGCTGACGTGTGTCTGGTGTGTGTGTGTGTGTGTGTGTGTGTGTGTGTATTCCGGTTCTGTTGTGGATCCGCGTTCAGTGCCGCTGGAGGGACAGAAAGCTCTCAGACTAAATCTAAAATATCTTAAACTGTGTTCTGAAGATGAACGGAGGTCTTACGGGCTTGGGACGACATGAGGGCGAGTCACTAATGACATCATTTTCATTTTTGAGTGAACTAACCCTTTAAATCCAACATTTGCCTATGTAAATCCAAATGTAATGTACATTGCCTATGTAATTTGTTTGTTTTTTTGCCCTGTGTGTGTGTGTGTATTATTTCTTATTAATTTCTGTTGATTTTTTGGTGGTGTGACCCTGGTTTTGACAGATTTTACTTCCCTCTTTTCTCTCACCCTCCAGTGCTGTCTGCCATGATCAGAGGAGCTTCGACAAACTCGCTCTTCCATGTACACGACTACACAGAGGATGAAGTCGAGAGCTTTTTGGAGAAATATTTTGATAGTATCAACAAGAACTGATGATGAGCATATTTCAACGAATCATAACAGATAAGCACAACTCTTATATGCGGCTCCTCTGCTTTTAGAAAGCCAGTAGGACAGTTCTCCTTTGGTGGCCATAAGCATTTACATCACATTGTAAAATGTAAATTGCACTGTGTTCTTACGTACATGTGAATAAACACTGGTGTTACATAGGATCATGGAAATAATTGTTTTGTAGTAATTTCTAGTATATGACAAACATTAAATAACTGAGATAACCAGACAGATTCATACTTTTGGTCATATGTCATATGATCAATGTCCACCAGGGGTCACTTGTTGTCTTTTGTTTAGGACATTAGCAAAAATTTATAACCAAGATTAATAAGTTAATAACCAGGCTTGCGACATAGCTCATTAATGACCTGAAATATATATATATATATATATATATATATATATATATATATTATAAATAAAAAAATATGTGTATATATATATATATATATTTAATTATATATACACTACTGTTCAAAAGTTTGGGGTCGGTACGATTTTAAATACTTTTAAAAGAATTCTCTTCTGCTAACCATGGCTGCGCTTATTTGATTAAAAATACAACAAAAATCAGTTATAGTATTAAATATTATTCCAGTGTAAATCAGCTGTTTTCTGTGTGAATATATAGTAAAGTGAAATTTATTCCTGTGATCAAAGCTGAATTTTCAGCATCACCAGTGTCAGGGTCTTCAGTGTCAAATGATCCTTCACAAATCAGTATAATATGAGGATTTGATGCTCAAGAAACATTTATTATTATTATCAATGTTGAAACAGTTGTTGGTCTGTCAGTTGTACAGTTTTTTTGTTTTTTTTTAGGATTCTTTGATGAATAGGAAGTTCAAAAGAACAGCATTTGTTTGAAATAGAATCTTTTGTAACATTATAAATGTCTTTACTGTCACTTTCGATCAAATTAAGTATTGATTTCTTTCCTCCAAAAAAAAAAAAAAAATTCTCACTGACCCCAAACTTTTGAAAGGTAGTGTATATATTAACTATAATGACTATTATTAAAATAATAGTAATTTTTAGCTTAGATATAGATAAGAAAATTGCATAGATAAGATAATTGATCATAATTTATTCATGACACCTGGCATTTAAAGACAGTTTTTATAGAGTGATGTAGACATGGAGTTCAACTATTACACAGTTAAAAACTTTAATACACACAGTTTTGTATAAAAATGCACATTACAATAAAAAACAAATATACATTTCACCAATAAATTACATAAATAAATTATATTTGCACTTAAGAATACTGTTGTTTATGTATGAATTTATATCACAAAAATCATTCCCATAAAACTATCTAAACCGCTTAAAATAGCATCACAATAATGTTAAAGGGAACTTACACTTTCATTTAAAAAAGTATGTTCATAAAACAAACATATTCTCAAAAAATAAAATGTAGCATATACTCACTCTTACGATTTGAACACTTGGCAAAAACGTGTACACATACATCTGCAATTAAAAGAGCTTCTCTAGTAATGTGGCTAGATATTACACACACAGCACTAATTTAACACACGACCAGGATGTGTGTACCTTAAAGTCAACATGAAACAGCATCTGCATCCACCTTACCTTCATAATGTGACACACAATGTATTAAATGAGAAAATGATATGGTGAGATTCAATTTTATCAGTTTTTCACTGATCGGATTATTAAAATGGTCTCTGAAAATTACGAAAGCCCCGAAACAAGATGAACATTTTTTATTTCCTCTAAAATAATTATTTATTTATTAAACGTTTTGCTAGCACTTTACAATAAGGTCCCATTACTTAACATTAGTTAATGCAGTAACTAACATAAACAATGAGCAATACATTTGTTACAATATTTATTAATCTTTTCTAACGTTAGCTGATAAAAATGCAACTGTTCATTCATTGTTAGTTCATGTTAGCTCGGATTCATTAAATAATATTAATAGATACATCTTTTGATTTTAATAATGTATTAGTAATTGTTGTAATGAATATTAAGATTAATAAATGCTTTTATTTTAAAAGAAGAAGAATTTTCATGTTAACTAACCTTATTGTAAAATGTAAAAAAATAAAAAATAAATCTGCTTCTGGTTGTAAAGGTTTGTACCGCAAGCAATTTTGTTGCTTTTATTGAAGGAAAAAATTAAGACCAAAAAAATACAAAGAAATTTTTTTGGAAGATGAAATATAGACTCAGAATGGCACTAAGTACGGAAGCGTATTGCATTCACTTGAGGAAAAAAATCGACTGTTTTTCTGAATTAACGAGTTAATTATCTTAGAATTACAAGATCATTTTTCATGGAAAAAAAGTTTTTGCTCTGTTATTCTGAATTAACGAGTTAATTATCTCAAAATTATGAGTAACTCGTTAATTCATAAAAACAGAGTGAAAAAAAAATTTCAAGAAAAATGTATCTCATAATTCTGAGATAATTCACTCGTTAATTCAGAAAAACAGAGCAAAAACTTTTTTTTAATGAAAAAATATCTTGTAATTCTGAGATAATTAACTAGTTAATTTAGAAAAACAGAGCAAAAACTTTTTTTCAATGAAAAATTATCTTGTAATTCTGAGATAATTAACTCATTAATTCAGAAAAACCGAGTGAAAACTTTTTTCCATGAAAAATTCTCGTAATTCTAAGATAATTAACTCGTTAATTCAGAAAAACAGAGCAAAAACTTTTTTTCAATTAAAAATTATCTCGTAATTCTGAGATAATTCACTCGTTAATATAAAAAAACAAAACAAACAACTTTTTTTCCATGAAAAATTCTCGTAATTCTGAGATAATTCACTCGTTAATTCAGAAAAACAGAGCAAGAACTTTTTTTTTAATGAAAAATTATCTTGTAATTCTGAGATAATTAACTCGTTAACTCAGAAAAACAGAGCAAAAACTTTTTTCAATGAAAAATTATCTCGTAATTCTGAGATAATTCACTCGTTAATATAGAAAAACAAAACAAACAACTTTTTTTTCCATGAAAAATTCTCGTAATTCTGAGATAATTAACTCGTTAATTCAGAAAAACAGAGTAGATTTTTTTCCTCAAGTGAATGCAATACGCTTCCGTAACTAAGACACCTCTCGGTTCCATCAACAATAGTGCCTGGTGAGATCAGCCAGAACGTTTTTCAGAGGCAGAGGAAGATATTACATTTATGGATTATTACATTACATGTGTTACAGTACATTTGTTATTACATGTATATAACATTTCTACGGAGCCCCTAAAGGGACATGGTGAAGAAAAAATATATGAGATTGGATGAAAAATTATTTGGCAATGCTTTGCGTCCTCGCGTTGCCCCGAGAAACTTTGCATTCGCTCTCATAAACACAAACGTTTCTCGGGGGAACGCAAAATTTTTGCAAGAGAATTATTTTTCGTCCCATCTCATGTTTTTTTGCCACCACCACGTCCCATTAGGGCCTCCGTACATTATCTTGGGAATAATGTTCCAACACCAGGTAAGAGCATTATTGATTTCATGTTGACTCTAACTGAGCTAATGTTCCCTCATCAGTCCATGCCCTCACTTGTGGCATTGATAATTGAAATACAACTACTAATTGGTTCTTTATATCTGTGTAATGGCTCTGTATAATAACCACCTGCATTCAGCCAACTCTCAGATCCATCAGTACCAGTATCTTTATCTCGTGAGTGGTCAGAAGTGGTGGTTTACTTCAACGAGAGCAGCTGCACAGATCGATCTGTGTCTAGATGATGTCGGTGTTCAGCCTCTTCTTCTCGAGCTCGGCTGGAGGCTGGAGGAAACTGATCTTGCACTCCTGTTGCACAGAGTGAGTTCGACACCGGTGGAACGGGCGCTGGTGTGTGGGAGCTGGTCTACACTGGCAGCGAGCCGATCGGTCCTGGCACTGTCCACGCAGCACCAGACCAGCTGTTACTGCCACCACGGCTAAAGTCATGCCCCCCAACACCAGCAGGAGGACGAGCTGCGACTCCGACAGCCCATCCGCCCCGCGCTGGGTCACCACGGAGATTTTAAACAAGCGTTTCTCATTCCCGTTAGGAGTCGTCCAATGGGAGTGATTTCCCAGAACAGATTTGCTCTCTTCGCTCTTGAACGGAGACACCGCTTGAGATCCCGACTCCCAGACGGGAATCTCGCATGTTCTTCCGGTGTGACCTGGAGGGCAGAGGCACTGGAAGGCCGAGACCCGATCGATGCAGCGTCCTCCGTTGAGGCAGGGCTGGCCGGCGCAGTCGTCCAGGTTGATGGTGCAGAAGCGCCCGGTGAAGCCCACAGGGCACAGGCAGGAGAAACGGTTCACGCCATCCACACAGGTGGCACCATTGGCACAGGGGCGCATCAGGCAGTCGTCCATGTTGGTCTCGCAGCGCGGCCCGGTGAAGCCGGCCAGGCACCGACACGACAGCTCTGGAGCGAAACCTCCCAGATCCTCACAGAGACCGCCATTCTTGCAGGGGGACCTGAGGGATGAAAATATCTGTCACTTATGCTTGTGATTTTTTGTGCTACTGTCACAATGTCTTAAAGGGTAACTAAACACTAAACCAACTTTTTTTAGTTAATGATCTGTAAGACTGGGGCTTTATTAGTGCTGTTCATTGATTCGAGTAACTTTTTTGACATTTGTAAAAACGTCTGAGTGCTGCCCTCTTCAGGTTGAACGGTGGCTACTACAGTTGAATTTTCCTATTGGATGTTTGCGGTAGTTCGTGACGGTAGCGGTGAGCGCTGACGTAAGCAGGTTTCAGCTTACCACGCCCTTGGTACGAGCTACCACGCCCATGGCAGTATAAAAACCATCTTGTTTCGTCAAAACCACTGTAGCGAGTCGGGAGTCTGAATTGCGAGTATTGAAAACGATCAGGATAGAGTATCAGTTCATCCCAAGGGGGTAATCCATCGACCGGAAGTTGAAGCCGGCCGGGTGCCGCCATCTTGTAGCAGAACTTCACTTGCGTTAGCATTTCCATTGACTCCCATTCATTTTGGCGTCACTTTGACAGCGAATAACTTTACATCTGAGGCGTTTAAAGACTCCATTTGTCCATTATTTATTTCTAAAGAAACAAGGCAATGTATAAAGTGCTCCATTACCTTCTATGTTACATTATGGCCCCGTAGAAACAGATTTTGTAAAAATAGGCTAACGATTGCGTCATAACCACTCGACTCTCTGTCGCGCTGTACAGAAATGACCGTACAGACAGGAGGAGAAGCTCGCAGGCAATCAGGGGGACGTCCTGTCAAGGGAGAAGCCCATAGATAATGAGTCCATAAAAGCAACGGAATACTTACTCCTGCTCACTCACGCCAAATAACTCTTTGCTCAAGTTCCCCGTCTCTGCAAGATTAACGTTGGCAATTTTCACGCACAGCTACTAGAAGAGTAACGTCTGTCAGACAGGTTGCTCACGTCATCAAGCTTAGTTTGAGTCGGTTTGAGTCTGCGCGTCAGGAACGGAAGTGCTCAAAAATCGCTAAAAATGGGCTTCAACTGTCTCAACTGAGTTCCAATGAGATCGCTCTGTCCACTTCTTATACTGTCTATGGTTCATCCCCTCTATCTCCGCTGGGCTCCGCCCACTTTTCCAGCATTTTTCAAATATTGCCAGTGGGTGGAGTCAGGCTCTGACCAGGGGTTTAGTTACTCTTTAAAGATAAAGTGTGGGATTTCTGCACTCATATTGTCACCAATTGTTTTCTGAGAACCGATTTATATTCAAAACATTTTTTTAAATATTTTTCATTAAAACAACAACAACGTAAGAGCGGCGTGGACATTTGTAAGTTGAATGTGTCTGGCTTCCGATGTCATACACTTCCAGTTATTATGCTGCTTAATTTTACAAACCGGTATTTCTCAACATAATATTTTAATGAATTATCGTATTTAATAAACATACTGGTTTGTAGCGCAAATAGACTTACTGTTTACTGCACTTTGTTATTATTTTAGTTATTTCCCTATAGCAACTAAAAATCACAGAAAATAGCTTACTTCCACGTTGCAAAGTACAGTGGATATAACACCGCTACTAGAACATAACAGCAACCAGTGAAGTCCACTTCCTGAGAGAATGACATTTATGAGCCGGTTATTATTAGTAAATTAAGGGTGTGTTCACACCTGTAGTTCAGTTCGCTTGGTTTGTTTGGTCTGAGAAAAAAAACAAAAAAAAACATTTAGTCCTGGTCCGCTTTAGCGTTCACATTGGCAACACTGAACCTAAAGGCATAGGGATATGCTCACAACCTGATTGGTCGGCTTTTAATTACGTATATTGCGAGGGAACATCCAAACAATGCTGTGTTCTGGCCTGGGATAAATGCGCTCTTTGTATGTGCGTAGCTATGATGGTATTTTGACCAGCTGAGATCTCGTGAAGAGCTTATAAAATGTGTAAAAGTGTCAAAACAGCGCCAGGAATCCCTCCGTCACACACACACACACACACACAGATGTGCTGAACTGTGATGAGCAACATGAGGGAAAAACAGGTTTGCTTGAGCATTCTCTCCTTTATACAGTAGAGTCGCATCTTGTGACATCATGTCCCATTTTTGGTTCGTTTACATGTATTTGGTCCATGATGCGTTCATATTTAATTCAAAACGCACCAGGGTTCGCTTCGCTTGGAAGCGGCCCGAGACCCAGACCCAGACCCATTATTGTTTGGTGGCACGAGGGTTCTGACGGCAGCGTTCACACTTATTCAAATGAACCAAACAAAGGGTGTATTCACACCTGCCTTGTTTGGTTCGATTGAATCGAACTCTAGTTCGTTTCCCCCCTTGGTGCGGACCTTTTGGGCAGGTGTGAATACAGCAATCGAACTCGGGTGCGGACCAAACAACCGAACCGAGACCCAGCTGAAGAGGTTCGTTTACGGTGTGAACATGAACCGACCCAATTGCAAGAAAGCACTGCGGCTTTGAGTTAACAGGCTTCCGTAGTCGGAGTTGCGTTATGGGAAAGTGATCTGTTGTAGCCTACTACATTACATCTGTTGCGCGTCTTTCTGCGCGTCGTGTGTGCGTCATTGGAATGGAATGAATGAATGAGTGTGTTATTATTATTATTATTTACCTTTATTTAACCAGGTGAGCACATTGAGAACATTTTCTCATTTACAATGGCGACCTGGCCAAAAAAGCGTTGAGGTACAAAAACATAAGTTACACATATAATTACAAGACAGAGTAGTACTCAATTAACATAGAAGAAGATTAATATACAGATCCGTAGAGCAAGTACACAGATCAGGTTAGCATGTACAATGGTCCGACAGTAAATTTGCTAACAGTAATTTGAAAGTGATTAACGGGACAATGGATTCAAGTTTCAAAGATTTTTGGAGTGTATTCCAATCATTAGCAGCAGAGAACTGGAAGGAGAGGCGTCCAAAAGAAGTACGAGCTTTAGCAGCCACCAGGGTGATATACCTGCTTGAACGAAGGTTCATAGAGGGGATTGCTCTGGAAATTAATGATCGTAGATAAGGTGGGGTGTTACACAGTAAGCATTTATAAATGAAAAGATACCAATGTTTTTGACGCCGGGTATGTAATGAGGGCCAGCCGATTAAACTGTAAAGGTTGCAGTGGTGAGTGTTATATGGAGCATTGGTGACAAAACGGATGACACTATGATATACAACATCCAATTTCCTAAGGAGAGAATTTGAAGCGATTCTGTAAATAACATCACCATAATCAATAATTGGAAGAACAGTCATTTTCACAAAGGCAAGTTTGGCTGGGAAAGTAAAGGAGGCTTTATTACGAAATAAGAAGCCAATCCTAGATTTAATTTTAGCTTGAAGCTGATTGATGTGGGTCTGGAAAGAGAGTGAACAGTCTAACCAGACCCCTAAGTATTTATAGGTATCTACCTGCTCTATTGCAAACCCATCTAGTGTCATGATACTTTTTGAACAGTCAAATACAGTGTGAGATCGATTAAAAAACATAAATTTAGTTTTGCTAGAATTTAAAAGCAGTTGTGTGCATCAGGACATTCACATACAGAGTGTTCTCTTTAGTCTAATCGCGCATAGATGCAAAAAAAGCATTTGCAGTTCATATAATGTAACGATAGTTATTAGTTACAATATAAGGATGATGCTGCGTTAATTTACGTTAAGCCTTTTTTGCACTTCCTGATTTCCCTACTTGAGAATCCTTGTCCAATGAATGGACGACCTTAGCACACGTGTGGTTTTGTTTACAAATTTCGGTTCACTTGCAAAAAGAGCAGTGTGAAAGCGAACCGTACCAAAAAAAAAATATTTGGTCCGGACCAAAGCAAGTGAACTATCGGTACTTTCCTGGTGTGAATACACCCTAACAGAGCAATCGCACCAGGGTTCGTTTTAATCAAACAAAACACGTCAAGTGTGAACACACTAAAAACATTCAGCATAAACAGTGTAGTCCGATTCCTGAGCGTATAATCCTTCCTGTCGCTCACACAGTCGAGCATAGCGCCAGCAGCATCTGTGTCATGGGCTCGATTCCCAGGCAATGCATGATTTGACCAACTGGGCACTTTGAATTCAATGTAAGTTACTTGTGCCAAATAATGTAAATATAAATGATGTGTCGGTTCTTTTTTAGTGAATCAAAAGCACTTATGAATCAGCAGCAGTGGTCAAAAAGACTCGCTTGCTGAGCTGCAAATATGTTGATTCTGCGTAAGAGTCACAGGATTTATATCCTACTTTTGAGGGGAATTGGTCAATGCATGTATTTATAGTTATCTCTGCATATTAAACTTTAACAAGGTGACATCAAAAACATTGCACACGTCCCCACAACATCATTCATGTGCACAATCGATTAAACATTTATTTTAAAATACATTTATAAAACATGCATATGCACAGATTTTAACTAAATGTGCGCACGATAAAATCATCGCCAATCTGAAAACACGAGCATGCATTTACATATATGCACACACATACACCCACACAGTCAAACCAAATATTATTCAGACACCAGATTTAATTACCGGCATTGGTATTTATTTACTAGTGGGAGCAGGACATTTATGTAAGTGAGGAGAGCAAAATAAAGTAAACCGTGACATCTTATACCCAAAAATTCTTCATACAGTGACTACCAGTAAAATGTATAAAAATTAGGGACCAAAAATCATTCAGACACTTAGATCTGACCATGTTTTGCTTAAGTGTTTTTTCTTTAATTGCTAATGCGACCTTTTTACACCACAGACTGAACAAAATTAAGCATTGCTTGGTAATTGGTTGACGTGAACTGGTTTTATCTAATTGTGTAGTTAAATTGAACAGCTGACAGCTATTTAACCTAATTCATTTGTGAGACAGTCTAACAGAAGGATGGACAAAACCAGTAAAATATGAGAGTTCTTGTCATATTTTATTACCATTTTCTAAACTACAGCGAATAAACTGTGATAATGTGAGTAATGTTGAAGGTGTCTGGATAAATTGTGGTTATATATATATATATATATATATATATATATATATATATATATATATATATATATATATATATATATATATATATATAAAACACTCACTTTGTCTTTTGGCAAGGCCCAGTTTTCAGCTCACAGTCCCGCCCGTGTAAGCCTTCAGGACATAAGCAGTTATAATCCCCCGACTCACTCAAGACGCAGGTCGCCCCGTTCTGACACGGCTGTTCTCTAGAGCACACGTAGATATCTGCGGAGACAAGTAGCTGTTGTCATGTCAGTCTGTTAATGCGTCTAACTCTTAAGCTCATGAATAATGATGATTCACCTTTGTCACAGAATCTGCCCCCCCACCCGTCCACGCAGGTGCACTGCCAGGGCTGATGACAGGAGCCGTGAACACACCCGGGCATGCGCACGCAGTCGTCACAGCGCGGGCCACCCCACCCCGGGTCACACCTGACACACGAGACGAGAGGTAAATACTGTTCATCTGTTCACAGTCTGCTGAAGCTAGCAGCACAGGTCAAATATACACATAACCCCCCCTCAAGAGTCGACTCACCTGCAGTCGCCGTTCTCAGCACACTTTCCGTGGCCAAGCTCACACGTGCAGTTACTGGCTGAGGGCGTTGGAGATGTTTCTACTGAGGAAAATGACATGTTTATTGATCTTACTTACTATGCAGCAGTGTTTGTTGGCTAAAACTATTAAAAACGTATTTTTGTGTACATTTACATTTAATCATTTAGCAGACACTTTTATCCAAAGCAACTTACAAATGAGAAGAGCATAGAAGCAATTAAACTAACAACAGGCAGCCCGTTCTCATCCCAAGGCGTCATATACTGACGCTCTATATCCAACGCACATGGCACCCTTTAGCGTCAATATGAGACGCGGATATATGGCGCCTCCTAGTGGTCTAACCCTAACACTACGCCAGACCTAAACCTACCCATAACCGAAGCGTGTTATATTGACGCTAAAGGGTGCCATGTGCGTCTAATGTAGACGCTTTGGCAAAAGCGTCAGTATATGACGCCTTGGGATGAGAATGCGTTGGTATGCAAGTGCTGGGACCCTTGCCAGTGTAGTCTAACACAGCATATGTAATTTTTTTAAAGATAGATACAGAGTAGAAGAGTGTTAATGGATCATGTGTTGCCATTAATACTAACTTTCTTTTCTCACTCTAAATCTTTTTTTTATTATTACGTATACTGCGTTAGACTAAACTATGAATGGAATGGGAATGGAAACTGGGTTAACTGGAATTAAAGATGAAATAAAATATTAGATTAAAAAAACAAACAACAATTACAATTGTTGCCTTGGCAGCTAAAATACTGTATAAGTATACATTGAAGTGCTAAACTAAACCTGAAATGAAAATGTATATTAAAGCTAAACATATGATAAAAAAAAGTACAAAACAAAATTACAAAAATATGCATTTTGGTGCAGTTGCTTAAAATCATATTGTCAAAAAGTGAGATGAAATTCTGATGTAAATCTTGTAATGTAAATCAATGAGATCTTTAAAACAGTCCAGCAGACGCTTACATAAACTGCATATAAATGTCAGTTGTCACTCTATATCTCCCAATAATATGTCTTAGTAAGATGAAGTGCTTATTATCAACGCTCTGTAGTTTTTATCATGGGGGGAAACATAATGCAATCCAATACAATGATGATTGCGAGATGAACAAATAAACGTTCCTCAAAAGCCCGATAGATCGTATTTGAGACTCACATTTTAGCTTAATTTTTCTATAAAAAAAAAGTGTTCAACGTGAAATATTTCTAACATTATGAAAGTTACTTTTTTGTTTTCCGATATAAAAAAGTAATTCGAGATTTCACAGCAAAAAGACGTGACCCACAACCTTTTTTCACAATTATACTAAAAGACCTTTTACTTGCTAAAAACATATAAAATATCAATCATAGGGCAGGAGGCATGTAGTAGATTGTGTACAACATGTTTTTTTTTTTTCAGAAAGTTTTGATCATGTTGATAATTTAGAGGCCTAAGAAATTTGTCTATCAAATATGATACAGTAGACTTTATAGGGTTAATAATCTACACGTGTACTTTTGTATGAAATGTTTTTTGATATGGTACAGGAAGTGATTCACCCCTGATCTCCATCATCACCATCTCGACTGAGTGATTTAGCGTTCTTGGCTGTGCTAATCCAGTATTGGGCTTTGCACTACGGTGGATGTTAGTGCAGGGTGTGTGTGTGTGTGTGTTGGGGGACGGCCAGCGAGCGCGTGTGTCTGCGGTGATGGGCACGAGGGGAGCGTGTGCGGTGGGAGGAGAGGAATGTGCTCATGTCTCCGCCCGCATGAGCTTTGCCCGAACATCACAAGAATTCACCATCGCCCAGAGCCCAACCCCTACATGCCTTCAAACCACCTCTGACATCACATGTCCTAAGCGAGGGATAGTCCTTTCACTAAACATGCTGAACTATTCCCTACAGCCAGGAAGTTTTGAACAATTATTAATATGCAAATCACGTGCACACTTATCCCCCATCTGACAAGCTTAATTAATCGTGTGACTATTTCGGATAAGAGCTGGTATGTCAGACACAATACATGTGTAAGCTCATATTCATTGACTGCTGCTGGAATGGGAAGCATTTTCCATGTTATCTGGCCTATATTCCTGGAAACACAGAGCTTTGAACAATGCGTGCCTGGCTTTCCTGTGCTATCAGTGCAACAGCTGAAAAGCACAAACTGATGATAACAGAGCAGCCCAAACAACAATATGAAGCGTAATCTCTTAAACATAGACAGCTGAAGGATTAGTTTAACATTTACAATTCTCAAAATAATTCTTGTTCTACAGCTTTATATGAGGTGAATGGCAATTTTGTCCCTCTTGCTTGCAGGTAATTTACACACACACACACACACACACACACACACACACACACACACACACACACACACACACACACAAGCAGGGTCCAAAAAACTAAGAGCACATTAAAAATAATGATTTATTATTATTATTATTAAAAGTCCCCCTGTGGTGAAAATCAAGTTATTAATGTTGTTTATATGTCTATGTGGTGTTTTTAATATGCTTCAAGAAAAAACATGTGCACATTCATAGGTTAACACCATTGCTGAGTATTTTCTCCTTAAAACTGTTGTGAAAAAAGACGCGGTTTGAAATCGCTGGTGTTTCTGATGTCACAAACTACCTTGTAACCAATCAGATCAACGTGTGATCTCTGAGCGGGGCTGCGTTCAGGCCACTGATCTATATAATGACTGGATAGCTCATGACGTTCTAAACTGCCACCAGGCAGTGAAGCCACCGGAAGTGTTCGAGCGGCCATCTTACGATTCCCTACCAGCAGAGGGCTCCAACGGCCGTTATACAGAGATAGTAGCTCCGACGGCACTTTTAAGATGACCCGCTGCGCATCAACAAGTGTAAAACGAAGATCACAAAAGGATCTTGAAAAACTGCTCACAGGTTGTACTTTAAGCCCATATATAGTAATTTATATGCACAATTGTCGCTATTTCCGTGTTGTTTAAAATGTGTTTATAGCCTACTATGCATTCTTTCACAGACGTATTCAAGTTTAAACCCAATAAACGTATTATTATTTAATGCATTACTTCTTATAAATTTAATTAAATGCATATATTTAATATTTTCATGTCAATCCGTGTTCAGTTTGACCACGAACCATGCGCTGTCACTTTAATTCAGCGCCTGCAGCACAAACGATCTCTGCACGCACCGCACAGCACAGGACGGGCATCCGCGTGCAGTGAAAGCTCCAACCTGTTGACATGGGTATGGTAAAAAATATGCACTGCAAACGGAGTAGGCCTATGTGTAAACCCCTTATTTACAGTGCACACATCTGCGGCGCATTATGGCTCCGACAATGTTTTATTCCTACATTCTTACAACTCACACCGGGAGCATTTCCACGTGATTTGCCGATTTGTGGGCGCGATCAGCTCCGGTAGCCGTGTCGCAGCTGTAAACGCGCCGCAGACGTGTGCAGTGTAAATAAGGGGTAAATAAGAGGTGAAACAGGTGTACATTAACCCATACAATTTGTATTATGCATTTCCTGGACATGTTCTTGCTAACTAATCAAATACTTGAACAGACTACTGATCTATCTGTAAAACACAATCAGAAAGAGCTCAATTTTAAGTTCACAATTCACATATACTTCATTTTTAGTAAGCAGGAATAATTTCCGACTTTAAACAAATACCCATTTAAATGCTTAGGATGTTTGCGTGGTAAGACTGTTCAGGGAGACTTTAGATTTAAAGACGGTGTCTCGTTATGCAATGTTTTCTCAGTCAAATCATACAATTTCCTATTGATTCAATAGAACGCGTGAGCTCACTAGGGAATACCAATATGGCGGCGCGGTGGCTTCACTGTTTATGATGTCATGAGCTATCCAGTCATTCTATATAGATCAGTGGTTCAGCCCCGACAAAACGTTGCACAACGTTTTTTAAACAGAAACGGTGATGCGTTGAACACACTGTTGTGATGACGCAAGAGTTGCAACTATGGCAACTGAGAAGGCCATTCTTCGTGTTCTTTGTGAAGAATTTTCGGAGTCTGATGAAGTCGGTATAAATATGTGTTTAAAACTACAAAATATGCCCGATGTTACAGTTACTGCACTTGCCGCCCAGAACACAAGAGAACATCCCAGTCGAGTGAAGGGATTTGTGGAAACTGAAATGGAAGCACATCTTACCTAATTCAGACTAAAGCACATCTATTTAGCCTCACATACTGACTTTATTTGTAGTTCATACTGGTTTAATACCCTGTATTTTCTTTCTCATCTTTAAGAAAAGCACTTAATTATCATCGTTTATTATACCAAATGTCATACACTTGCAATGAAGCTAAACATATAAACAACTACATCATTATGTTGCTATCCTATATTTTGACAATAAAACTTACGACAAACATGTCTTCTAATATCCTCAGTTGTTGCGTATACCGAGCTGCATCGAACACATTTGTAAATGACTTTCCTTGAACCCATTGTGCGCGTTCACTTTAATACCGCGTGCTTTATATACATGTTGCTGCTGATTGGACTGCGGTTCTGACACACCCACCAAACAAGAGAAAACGCATATCAAACCCCGTTGCACACCGGTGCACGCCGTTTCCAGGAAACATGACGTTCAACCCGGAGACTGTAGCAAAACGTTGCGCACTGCTTTGAACTTGAACGTGCCCCTGGTGTGAGTGAGTGGAGGCGGGGCTCATTTGCATATTCATAGAACCGCTTATAGTAAATGAGGCAAGGGTGTCGAATTACATTCAAGCTATTTTAAGGAAAAAACTTTTAATTATGTTATTTTGATGATCAAAAAATATTTTTAAGCTATAAAATTATTGGCTACATTGGCTACCTATTTCTAGGTCAATAATCTAATTTGCTTAGAATTTTTTTTGGACTGTATTTATTTAATATATATACCGGTAACTGAAAAATAGTATGTTTTTGAGAAATTTCTAATATTTAAATTTCCATATCACCAGGGTATGTAATTGGTGTGGAAAGGAAGCAGATTTGCATGATTTTGCCAACCCGATCTCACGGA